CACCATCAGCGAAACAGCCACACGCACCGTTGCCACCGCCAACTGGACAGCCACACGCACCACCACTCACCATGACAAAACCACGAGTAAATCAGAACTCTTCCCTGCACACGAAATGGGCATCCGCACAATGACACCGGATAAAAAATCCGGTTATGATTTCGTCCTGGTTGAATTTTTTGTCTCAGTATTTTCCCCGAACAGTCTCTAACACAGTTACAGCAGAAGTACCACTCTTTTAGCCACGTAAAGCTGACGCCAAAACAAATGCTATCAAGAAAGGGCACTTTGGCCTGCCTGCTTTGGCCTCTTTGGCACATCCGGATTGTATCCGGATTTTGTGCTCTGGCAGATTTTTTGCTCCAACGGCACAAAACACCGGATAAGGATATTATATATGGTGTTCTCTTTGGTTGGCTGAAAGCAGTCGGATAATCGTCGCTTTCAGTTTTTCCCCCCACCAGACAAGTGTTCTTTGTGTTCCTCACGCTCTCGCCCCCTTCCCCAATGCTACCTCTATCCTGGTCCACTTGACAATAATGAGCCTCCTTCCTAACTCTGCGCATCCCTTCGTTGGCACACCACTTGATGAATCGCGGCCTCTGGCCTAGACTCCGTGGAAAACGGAATTCGTTGTCCCAGGCGACGACGCGTGATCTGGCGGGATTCTTCATCGAGCCCAACCATGTTCCACGTGGCAACCGGCTCGAAGCTCTCAAGTTCGGCAAGGCCTACCTCGAACTGGATGAGATCGACAACTGGGAATTCTATGTTGTAGACAATTCTTTATTTGAGTATGATCGCAATTTGTGTTTGGCGGAATTCGAAGTGCGCACAGCCGCCAATCAGGCCAAAGCGATCAACGTTGAGGCGGGCATGAAGTTCGCAGCTCAGCGCTCTGCCGCCCAAACATTGTCTGCCATTTCAGTTAACTTCGCCGCCTCTTCCAAACGACGGTGTATCCCTACTCGCTCTTTGAGCTTCTTAAGGTTCGTTTCGAGTCTAACCTTATGGACAACAATCCTACCGTCATTGCCAACCACCTTCGAACTCTCAGTTGTATGGACACTCTGGCTGTTGAGCTCACTCACCTCGTCAAGCGTTACCGCGTGTCTATGACCCCGCCTTCCTTCGAATTTTTTGGATGCGTCGGCGATCTCGTCTATCGACTACGTCACCCACATCTGGAACTACCAGTCTCTGTGTGCCATGTCTGGCACCTTTATTAACGACAAAGAGCTCTGGGAAGTTGTGACGAACTATGTCTCCACTAAGCGCGCTGCCGGTAGCCCTGTTGTTGTTGATGATGTTTTTGTATCCCTCTGTCGTATTCTTACGAATCGACTCCAACGCGCCTCTGCCCTGGGTGTCCTCATGACAAATGCAAAGCACAATAGTATCTATAAAATAACTTCTGAAGGTTTATAGAGCTGAGGAAAACTCCGGAACTTAGTGATAGTAACTATCTGATGGGTCCATCTTGGGGATTCGAATCATCGACCGTGATTTGCCAGATAGGTTGACTTGGAACAACCCTTTTTCGCCCGGTACTTGAAATGGGGCATGGAGGAAGGACACGTGAAGGATGACCCACAAGATGTGGAGGTCAACCAGAGGCGCGATGGAAGCGAACAAGTCAAAGACAACCTCCACCTTTATGCATAGTGATATAGAACCTCTTACACCATCACATGTAGATAATTCTAGGAAGTACAAAAAGCACGTCGCAGCTTAGTCGGCCGCGCCTAGCAGTATATCCGGCCAGAATTGTACCAGTGGCTGATCAGCGATATCTTATGAGCACAAGGTATTAATAAGTACTAGCACCAGGTAAGTACTAGTATAAACACGCTCCTCTGTAGCTAGCGCTTTGGTGCCAGTTGCCGAGGTGTGCTACGTTAGATGCAAGCCACTCCTTGCCTTCGTAGCCACGCCTTTCCGAACGTCCTACAGATAGAGTAACTCAACTAACACAACGTGAGTTTGAATCTATTCGATGTTTCGTATGTCTCTACAATTGCTACACCCCAACGCTTCAACGGTGAATGACCCATTGGACTACTTCATGACCTCGCCGGTCTTCCACGAAGTTGTCTCCACCCAGTCTACAGATAGGGAAAAAGTGTTTTCTCCGAAATCGACGAAATTAGATCACCTTGCTTTTATAACTTCAAGGTAATACTTTGCTTTCAAGTATTTACTTGTGAATCATTGAACAGGCCATTTGTAATCAATGTAATCTTCCTTCAGCCTTTTCCGTCTTGACAGCAGTTGGCTCGCGTTTCTGATGCTGCCACGCCTACCAAGGCGCATGAGGAGATCGGAGCCATCCCTTGGATTTGAGCTGCTTTCCACCACTTGCAACGTATTTGCTCTTGGCTGCTGCTTCGGCATACAAAACCACAAACTCAGCGTCCAGTTCGTCCGTCCACTTGGCGGACTTGCCTGCCTTCGTTGGTGTTGCCATGAAGTGGAATCGACGCGTGGTTTCCAAGGCCAGTCATGCACTTTCCTTTCATAACGAATATTACAAAAGTCCTTCGTTACATTACTACTTGTTGCGGTGTATTCATACTGAAGGTGTTGACTTTCTTTTGTTGAATTGTGTTCTCTGTCAATGCCAACAATTTCAAATATCCTCTTTTTTCAATTCAAGATATGTACGAGTTCCAAATATGCGCAAATCTCGCGAAATCCACTGAACATAATTCTGAAATTGTATAGTTTCAATTAAATATATCTTCAAGTTTGTATTGTTGTTTATTTCTATTTTTCATGTGTCTGTCTGTTTTTGGAATTCGCAAGGCAGGTCAAAATTGTCCAATTTTGTCCAATCAGATGCCGTGAAATCACTGCGTAGATTTATCACGCCCTGTTGCGATATTTTCTACTGTGATTGCGGTTGATGCAAGGAGCATTGAGATAACTATGTAGGCTGTGTATGAGAGCGAGATCATGTGATAAGATATTCAGGACTCGGTCAATTCTAACAGGTCTCATTTCACCACTTGCCGACTAATCCAATGAAATTGGTCATCCCTCATTCCACCATCCAGCCCGTGTAGGTGCCGTACACCTCCCTGCCGTTATGATCACATGGTTGCGCCACCGTGTTGGCCCACCAGAGCCACCACGACATTGCGACCCACCGAGCGCACAACATAATGTTAGCTGTAAGGGGAGAACCACATTGGATATAGTTGGAGTGCAGTCATCAGTGCACAATTTCGGAGCAGCATCACACAAAGCTCTACAATATTCAAGCATCCAAACAGTTCAAAATTGTAACCACTTCTGTCAGCGTTATAGCCAATCGTGTGTAAGAAACAAGGTGTGATGGGGTGATGGGCTCTGATTGGATATTAAAAAGGAGCACTTCACCCATGGACCTTGCAGACACTCGCGACGAACACGATATCCTCACAAAGCCTACGTCCAAGCCCACAACCAGAGGTGGGGGCGCACTCAACTTTGTTGTACGAGCTCACACTTGAGCCTATGGATAAAGAGACTGTCGGTCAGCGCGACACGTCCGCTGTATGGTTGGCAACGTTCGTCTGTGATGGTGCGTCGTGGAGTAAAATCAATATTTTTCTCGTCCTTCCCATATATGACTGCCAAACGAGACTTCTTCATCCCAATGAAGTAGTAGCCGTAGAGGAAGTGCATCACAGTGTTGGAGCTGTCGTGTCGGTGGAAGACAACAGACTCAATGGCGCTCATGGGTATCGACGAGCAGCCAGAAGGGCGTGCGTTTGGAAATGGCGCGTAAATGCGAAACTGCCGAACTCACAGACTAACCAATCAAACGCCGTCGCGCTGAGCCTCTCCATATCCGGAAATTCCCAGCAAATCGACAATACAATAATGGCTTTAAATAAAAACGGGAATTGGTCCCACCGCATATCTAACAGTACCTTAACTGTAAATTTGATAATTCACGACATGTGTTTTGCTTGTGTGACTTGTAGGTACAACTGTGTATTAATACTTCGAAGTATAATATAACTGGACTTTATAACCAAACTCTCTACTTGACCAAAACTCTCCAAGTGTAACGCCTTGCAGTTTCATAGTACTGTTAATAGTACTGCTTATGGGCGTGTATCTCATTAATAATCTCAGTAAACTCGAATCGTTCGGTATCCGTACTGCCGTGCCCAAAATTGCTCGTTGGAAAGTTGTCGCTTCCACCTCTTAATTTCACAACCTCACACAGCCGAAAATGATGTTTATCACTTTTGAGTTAGAGATTTGTATCTCAAAGATAGCCCAATTTCGTGTAATAATTTATAAACCTCTATAAATTGGAAATCAAAACTTTCCGAATCTCGGGACCCGTTGAGATAGGAGGCTTGTTATCTCAAAAGTGTCTCGAGTTTTAAGATGGTTAGCAGTAAAATAACTGTGGAACTTTTTTTAATGAGAGAATTATTCTGTCTAGAGTTTTCATGCGGAGGCAAATCAATACTGTATGTACAGACACGGGGTATTAGCACTAGGGCTCATATACGTATAGTAATTATTTACTATACAGTAGGGCTCATATACGTATAGTAATTATTTACTATACAGTTTGTGTATAAATTATACACTTCATTATACGAAGTTCTGTATAGTGTATGGTTTTTTCACTTTGCAGATCACTTGATTTAACTATAGTCGTATATTCTAGAATATATGAAATCGGTTACTACGTAGTAGTATTAATAGTAGTTATTTGCATCGATGCACATAATACGGTTTTTACACGACCGGCATCCGGTTATAAGGTTTCGTGCACGACGAGCGTCGGGCAAATTCCGTTTCCATCGAGAAATTATGAACCCCTAAATACAAATATCAAGATATTTGAATTTGACGTGGTATAAATCGAATTTGCACGACGCCCGTCAGGCTGTAAGCTAAGCATTTCTATTGGCTATAATGTGCAAAACCACAAAGGTGGTCAAACTCCATCCAGCCACGACAATTTGGAGATAGAAATGCCATGCGACTGATGGAACTTGTTTCAGTAACGTGATGTGGTGAAGTATAGTATATATACCGGTATGTATGTCGTTGAAATGACAGGTCGGTATGAATTTAGTAGTGTGCTCTGTAAATACTCTGGGTTTACAGTACTGATAATTTGGAAGAGAGTACATACTAACTAAACATCCACAGCACAGTTTTACGCTATTAATCTTCCGACTATAGAAACCATGTCATGGTCGGCTTGACTCCGAATTGAGATTTATATAGACGCACTGCCCAGACCCTAATCATGACGAAATCGCAAGCTTTTTGGCGTGTTCGTGGTCGCAACGGTAGTACATCGAGCTCGATGTGTTGTGATAAGTTAACTTCATTTTCAACAATACTGCAACCACATAAGAGTATTGCAGGAAAGCGCATAACCTTAGCCTGCAATAGGGCGGCAGACTAGACATCCAAAATATGTCTGTTTTGATACACTTTGCATTTCTACTTGCTCTTTATCCTCCGTTCCTTCCTCACTTGGTTGTCGTGAACGATAACTCGATTTGAAGGCTGACTCTACAACTGAATGCTCTCAACACTCGTGACATACTTACTACATAAAAGGTGGATGTTGAAAACTCGTTCGACAACACTATCGTGGACATTTACCGTGCAGCTCGCAATGCACGCTAACGTTAATTTACCGATATATGGCCACGCAAGTGTGAGCAAACTGTACCGGTAGGAGTTTGAGCAAGATTACATCTTTTACGTGAAAGCAAGCGGCTTTGTGCGAAAGACAGAAACGCAGTATAGTGCCGTAATCATTCGTAGAATGGAGGCTCTATGTAAGCGCAGAAGAGATATGCGGTATTGACTTCGATACATGACTTCTACATATATACACTTAGGTGTACTGGCCGCGATATGCACCTTGACTTGGCACTCGTAAGCATGGGCAATGTCTTGGTCGACGCTTACATGAAATCAATTGGCCAATCATATCCAAGGAATTTAATATTTTGACAAATCAGTATCTGTACGATGGCGGTCGTGCAAATTCCAATTACAATACATGAAATCAATACAAAGTGCTCCGGAACGTACATCGGCTACAGCGTAGTTGGTGTCACGGGAATTTGAAATGGGAAGTTTTCACTTTGGTCACTTAAGCTTAAGGTAACGTAACGTCCGCTTTACCCTCGTTCGTGTACTTGCCGCGGGTAAAGCTTGTGATAACGTTAGTGTTTTTCCGTGCAGTGCTCACCGAGTCCAAAACAAAGTGCTACGGCACCACTCGATAGACTTGGACACAGCCCAAGGAACGAACCCCCTTCTACGTAATGCTCTCTTGATGCCTCTTTTTTCATTGCCCTTTTGTAAATCAGTTACCAGTACGTAGTGGCTTCGGTTACAAACACTGCAATTACCGTAGCTGTGCAACAGAAAAATCGTCGTCATGGTATGTCTAATTATATTAACTCTTTGTATCGCTTGGTACTAGTTATATGTGATTGAGATCGAGATCAGCAAACCAAAGGAACGGTAGCGTTATTAGCACATCCAAGACATTTCATATTGTACAGGTGTACGTATTAATACATCTATCGGTTACTCGGCCTCGTGATTGATGTACATAACGGTGCCGGTATACGGTAGTCAAATCAAGTATAATTGATCTTTGTATACTACGTAGTAGTAATGTACTGTGTGAGCTTTACAGTTAACGTTAGTATAGTACTAGTACAGTATTACAGTTAACGTTAGCATAGTGTATATGTATTGCGACGGATTAATCGATTGCGACTCCTGTAATAACTGATACTTTTCTTGTAATAACTGATATTTACTTGTGAATACGTTGAGTATACTTCAAATTTGTATGACGTAATGGATTTACAAACTTTTGAGAACCAGTGTCGGCCGGTTGTGAAATATCACCTGTCGCAATACATATACACTATACGGACGTATAATTGGTACAGTGATTATTATACCGGTACGTATAGTGAGGGCGCACCCTAATTAGTACCAATTTTTATGGCATTATGTACTCTACAGTAGTACAGGGAACGACGCTGAGTACTAGTAACGGCGTGTGAGGACTTGTGATTGGACAGCGAGGTGATTCGAATTGGCCAAGGATCACAAAACCAAAATATAATAAAGCATCGAATGAAAAAATGAGCTTTGAATATAAGCTTACAAAGCATATGAATATAAAGAGAAATTAGTACTGGGAAGACAATCTATGGTTTTCATGTCCTCGTTCTTGCAGGAAACTAATTATCACAAGGGATCAAGGTGATAAAAATGCCTTTTACACATACAGTATTGCATTACATCGCTGTGACACATGGACTGTGGTTACTCAAGTAATTGAGTTTGGATTACTGTACTGTATCATTTGTTTTGGATGGATTTGCACCGTGACATTACTGCTTATACTATAATTTAATACTCTATTCAAGTAAAGAAAAAAAGTACTAGTACACGGTATGGGTCAATGGAACTACCAACACAAGCCATAGAATACACAACTCCCCCCCCATTATCTCCCTTGAACAGACGGATAGGGAGCCGCGCAATACAGTCGTGCCTTCAGCTAAGCGTACGACATCGAGCTTTGGGGTGAGCGTCGGTCTATGTCGAGGCTTCGTTGCCAGCACTGTGGCTGCAGGTAGCACTGACATTCAAGGTTATCACGTAGCGGGTGGAAAGTTGTTTAAATTGTGCTGTGAAAAATTCCGCCAATCATAGTCGAGGTAACGATATCGATGATTATTATTGGCTGATTTGAAAATTTATTCCCGCGCCGTCACTCAGCGTCGTAGGACCATCGTTAAGGTTATAAAAAGGATGGGATTATTTATTGTTAGTATTATAATATGAAGGTTGGTTATATGCACAAGGCATCGTCGTACAGGAAGTCCAAATCGTCTCGTGTGAGTTTGACTGAGTCTCGTTGGACATCCGAGTACGGGATCGGCAGGGATGATAAAGTGTCGTCGTCCGGGGACGTGTAAACGACAACGTTGGAGACGCTCACGTGATTTCCATAGCGTTTCATCGACAGGAACGGGTCGTATTGCAGGTCAGCCGTGGGCTGGGAAGCGCAGGAGGGTGATTGGACACTCATAAACACGCTTGTGGACGGGGTGAAGAAGGGCACGGGGTCGTACGCATCCGAGGAAGTGACTTGCGGTAATGCACATGCTGCTGAAGCGGGGGCAAAAGGAGTGGGAGTAGAGCAAGAATACACATCATGGGTAGTATACATGCTGGGCGACGACTCCGCGGTGAGGGGGGGGCTGTAATAGGCGGGGGAATCGGGGTTGTGCATCCGATACTGGTAAGGGTACCCATCGTTGATCGAGCCCAAAATGGCTCGGCGAGGCGTGTTGGACTTGATGCGGTGAGTCTTGCGTTTGATATGAAGCATGCGGGATGGGTCGTGGCGAAGGAAATACGGCTGACAGTACACGGAATGGTGGTCCGAGTCTTTGGCTTTGTGAAGTTTTCGGAACCCAAAGTAGTTGAGCTGGCGCTGGAACGATGCGAACTTGTTGTGTCGAAAGTACGTGGGTAGAATGTGCTGCTCCATCGCGTCGTAGTTGTACACGCCGAATGACTTGCCGTCGTCGCTCCACCCGATGATATGTGCGTCCTCCTTGGAGAGGATCTCGAACAAACTGGCAAGAAAGGGCGCTACTGCCGAGCTCACAACCTGCGAAGCATTGTCGCGGGGCGACTGGGTTGGTTCGTGGGCTGAGTACCGGTACTCGGCGCTGTGGGGAGTGTATGCGGGACTCATGGCAAGAGTAAAAATGAACGCAACTATCATCTCCATATTACAGTCTCGCGTGCATGAGTATAGTACCACCGCATGATAGTGCAGAAGTTTTCCTCCGATGAACGCGACCTGCTCCAACTGCCGTCATCTACGGTGGCACCCACAAAACCACCACATTGCACATTGCCTTGATCGCAGATGGTCGTACCCACGCAGTCTTACACTTGTGGTTTGTATGTGATCCATGAACTGCCTTTACTTCGCGATCTCGTAGCTGGGAATTTATAGCAGTGTGCAAATATATTTCGACACCAATATTTGCCCAAATCAGAGTGTAGGTATTACCTTGAAATTGCCTTCGAAGACGGTCAGAGTTATTGTTGTCATGTGTATTTCGGGAGTTTATACAGGCAAAGCTGCATACAGTAACAGTAAGGATACGGTCAAAGATATACTGGTGAGATATTTGTTAGATTTGTTGTGGACTGAAGAGGACTTCAACTTTACCACAAAGTTTCGTCCGAAGTGAATGAATGAGCCCTCTCACCATCACCATGCCCCTAGTAGATGGCAAGGGATAACGGGCCTTCCACTGTGGAATGAATTGATCATCAATTGATGACATACGTAGGTCAGGCCATGGGTATTGAGTATTTGGTTGCCGATTGCTGCTGAAATGCAGACTTGTAGAATTAATTACTAACAGTTTATTCTCGGTCAGTGTAGTGTAACCCGCGACAGAGAAAGTGCTTTGCCTCGCAGAAATTACCGCCAGTGAGAGCTAGTGAATGAGACAAAGATCAAAGTGTGATTATTCCCGCCTTATGCATACAGTACACTACCCTGGTAGTATTATCCAAGCGTACCTGTATATACCGGTACAGAGAACCACGTAGGAACTCGCGCAGCGTAGTACTATTACTACCAATACTAGTATTAATTTAAATATAAGCGTGATCAAAGTAACTCATTTTAACCTATAGTATCAGAGTACGTATCAGAGTATAGTATCAGAGTATAATACTACGTTATGACTGGCCAAATAAGTTGTTGAATTATGCAATCTTATTGGTTGATACAAAATTATTCTTCATTACTCCAGTAATGTTCAAAAGTCAGCGTGTCAGTGAGTCCATAGGTATCATCAGGTAAGACACCTTCGCGCCTCGAGGGTGGGCTGGTGCGGCTTTCGATTGATGTCATCAGGGTGATTGACTGAGAAAGTTTGGTTTACAATCTACTGTAACGCTATGAGGGATGCTGTAGAAAGCGAGATCGCGCGGTCGCAGCTACTACGACGAAGGTTGGGATTTCGGTAAGTTAAGGTCGAACCTGGGCGTGAGTGCCAGCATCGCATACACACTATTGTTACTAGTATACCGTTACTTCAGTGTATTGAGCACTCGAAACCCATGAAGCCATGAGCGACTACAATGCCAACACCACCTACAACCACAGCGACGAACTCCTTTATCTTTTGACATCACTTCATGGTGGTGGATGATGATGCTGCCTGGTACATTTAGGATCTAACAGGTGAGTAGTATGGTGCATCAACGGAATGTGATTTGCCTATGAAGTGAGTGAAACTACGTGAGGACACCCGATACCCGCCATGCAGCAAGGTCGAGTCAATGCAGCATGGACGTCGATCACGTCATAAATTGCACTTCGACACGTTAATATTTTTTATGGTTGGTTCTCAAGGATTGGTTAAAATATATCCAATCATGAAATAATAACAATGAGTTTCATTTGCATATTTTTATAAAAAAATACTGTAGCCATCACTTTCAGCGGGCATACTTTATTTCATATATACTCGAGTGCAACACTGCGCCAAATCCTACGTGGTTCTCTGTACTGCCTCCCCCCGCATACATACGTACGCGTTTGGCCAATGAGAATTCGTCTGGTCGCGTCATTCGCTGGGGGCGCCTGGTTATCGCTAAATCGGCATGCGAAAAATGGCGCAACTTTTGCATGTTTACGTTAGTACAGTACATGGTTGGCAGTGCGGGTGGAGTATATACAGTCAGAGAAAGTGTAGAGTTGCTGCTAATGTGATGTATGGTTGGATAGATTCGAGTCATCGTTTGATGGAAGTGGTATTCGAACTGAATCAATGACATGCAACTAACGTTACAGCGCAGGCCGTTCGTGCCCCTGTCCAATCACAAAGCGTTGGATCATTTCTCATGCCGCCGTGCAATTTTGCGCCAGCGCGATCCAGATTTTTGAGAGCATTGCGATGACTGGTACTCCGACGACGCCAGGTTCTAGGGTCGCGGTTTGAACAATCTTTACCATTATGCTTTATTACTTTCGACATTTACTACAGCTATACCGGTACTAACGACAATGTTCAATGTACGCTTCAATAATGGATGGTTTGGTCAATCTTCTGAGAATCTTCTCCACTCATTTCTCCTAGCCACACAACACGACAAACAGTCCCACTCTTTGTCAATGCACCTACGTATGGTCAGTACCAGCCAGAATGCAACCAACGTACAAGTGCCAGGCTGCTGTGTAGGTTGGACAAGTGAGATTCCAAATCAACAAACTGGCTGGAAGGTCGAAGTCGGTGTGAGCAGCAAATGTCATGTCAAGATTCACGTATGTCGAAACATACAGGTATCGAACATAAATAGCACCTGCACTGTGCCGGCTTTCTTGGATGGAATGAATCAGACAAGATGCCAAGCTGACCAAAAGATCGTCAAAATTGAGCGATTGGTTCCGCATGCTGTTGAACCATCAATCAGAAACCACCGCAACTTCGAGCATACTACTCGATAACAATCCCTCACTGTCGGTAGTATATATTGTACATAGTGAGGTACGAAAGGGGCCAACTTTGTCGATAATTTACAACGCAATGCCCAGCGACGATTTAACCACGACACTTCAATTCCTTTGAGAGGACAAGAGACCACAAGAGTGACCTGCTAACGTTGCTTCAATGATCCAAGTACCGGTCTCTACTTGAGCTGGACCGCATGAGGCCATGAGTTGACACTGTGAAGAAATCGAATTTGGCGCGTCAGCGTTTCACATTTCGAACATCTGCGACGAAACCGCCACAACGGTTGGTCAGTCGAACATTGGTGATCCGGATATTATCCGGTTTGTCGGGTTGCTGTCGCGAAAAGTCGCGGGAATTAATATTCGTACTGCATACAAACACCCAGTACAACAACTATATTTTAATGCAAAGATTTGGTTGTTAGGCCAATATTGGCATCACAAGATCTTTTGACCTCGGAGCGCCACCGGCTCGCGAGTTATGAAGCTAAAGCGATTCCTCTTGCGCTACTACCCTCCGGGTATCATTCTCGAGTATGAGCTGCGTGATGCGACGAGAGAAATGAAGGAAATCGACCTCCTGCACCTCACAGCCGAGTACGTCCGGTGGCCACCACTACCGTAGCACCTCTGGTTACATGTCGCTCATGCTTTGCCAAACTTTGTAGGTCAGACATCGAGGTCCTCGTGAACCAAATCGTGTTTGAGGAACCTCTCATCTCCGAGTCCCGCAAGCCCCAACTTCGGCGGCTAATATACAAGCTCATTGAAAAGCTCGAAGTGAACGACAACAGCGACTTTTACCTGTTCAAGATCCTTCGCGCGCACATCCTGCCCTTGACCAACTGCGCGTTCAACAAATCAGGCGACAAGTATACTTCCATCTCTCTGCGTGGCGTCGTTGTCGACTTAGTTGAGGGTTGTGTGCCAGGTTTATCACGGGGAGCTACGATCGCACGTGCAAAGTATGGGACACGCAGAGCGGCGACGAGCTGCTGACGCTCGAAGGCCACAAGAACGTCGTGTACGCCATTGCGTTCAACAACCCCTACGGGTGAGTCCATCCGTCCGCCCTCGTCGTCCTGTCCAGTGTGAACCGAACACCATGTAGCGACAAGATCATCACTGGGTCTTTTGACAAAACGTGCAAGCTGTGGAATGCGGACACGGGGCAGCTGTACCACACGTACCGCGGCCACTCGACCGAGATCGTGTGTCTGTCATTCAATCCCCAGGGCACGGTCATCGCCACAGGGTCCATGGACAACACCGCCAAGCTATGGGACGTCGAGTCTGGCCAGGAGCTGCACACGTTGCTGGTACGATTTGATGTGGGATCATGGATGTACGGAGTGACGTTGGTGGTAACGTTAGGGCCACACGGCTGAAATCGTGAGCTTGAACTTTGACGCGCAAGGCGACAAGATCATCACCGGGTCGTTCGACCATACGGTCAAGGTGTGGGACGTCCGCAGTGGCCGGTACGACACACGATGTGGAGTATGCGATGACGTTATCGGTTATTGTTGCATTGTAGATGCATCCACACGCTGGCGGGGCACCACGGGGAGATCTCGAGCACCCAATTTAGCTACACGGGCGAGTTGTGCATCAGTGGCTCCATTGACCGCACGTGCAAGATCTGGGACGTTGCGAGCGGTCAGAACGTGCAGGTACGAACGAGATGGCGACATGTGACACGGTTGCAATGGTGTGTGTGTGTCGATTGTTTGTAGACGTTGCGCGGGCACAACGACGAAATCCTGGACGTGAGCTTCAACTCGACGGGGTCCAAGCTCGTGACGGCGTCGGCGGACGGCACATCTCGCATCTACAACACCATGACGGGGGCGTGCCAAGCCATCCTCATCGGCCACGAAGCCGAAATCTCCAAAGTCGCGTTCAACCCCCAAGGGTCCAAGGTGCTCACGGCGAGCAGCGACAAGGTGGCGCGGCTGTGGGAAGTCGAGACCGGCGACTGTTTGCAAATGCTGGAAGGCCACACGGACGAAATCTTTAGTTGCGCGTTCAACTACGAGGGCGATACAATCATCACTGGATCCAAGGACAACACGTGCCGCATCTGGAAGTGTTAGACGACGACGGATATATACATAACATGGATTGATGATTCGTTGGAATTATAAGGCGGGGGTGGTGTTGTTGGGTGTGTCGCTAGGCTGTCTAAAACTCGGCACCGGCAGGAGCATCGGGCTGGACCCATGGCAGCAGCACCATCAACAGGTCAGCTTGAGGTTCCGTGTTCAATCCGAGGTAAATGACAAGGGGCAGGAAGCCGTAGTGAACGATCGGCTTGATGAACTTGATCACCTGGTTGCTGCGCACCTTGATCTGCTTCTTCACAGGGCCGTAATGCAGTATGTTTCCCATCGTAGCGGCGGCGGTCGTTGTTGGTAAAGGGCGATTCTGCTACCCAACACCAAAGGATTGATTTGACCAATCATCAACGCGTACTCCAGATTCCCATACAACTCAGGAGTATTAAATATTGCGGTATTATTGAGTATCCGGATACCCATCTGTCGGGCTTTTCATTTGGGACGCTCTTGCTCGCATTGACATTTGTCTGGACCAAGCGTCGCCGGAACCTAACTTCGCGCATACCGTTTTAGTAGACTCGTAGGATGATATCGAATGGAAGGGAATGGTGGTGCATATGTCAGGCATAGTACACTGAGCCCCTATGACAAGCTTCGACATGCACTGCTGCAAGCAAGTGGATTGTGACCCCAATGCATGCACAAGCCATATATCGAAGTATGTGACTTCCAACTATGACAACTTGTAAAATATAGCGGTCTTTGTTAAATGTTATGAAATTGCCACACGTGTGGCTAAAAAGAAGCATCCATCGCGAGGCCAGGTGGACCACCACGACGCGGACGGCCACGACGCGGACGGGTATCCAGCAACAAAAAGGATGGGCCTTCGAGTGGAGATTGGTGCTGCCGTTCCAGATATACATGTGCACGAGGTAGGGCACCCGGGGACGCGGCACTGCTATGATAGGCACAACTTGGGGTCCCGATCCTGCCATAGGTGGCTCAACTCGGGGTCGCGCGACAACAACTGCTTGTGAGGTCACGCGGTTGGAATTGTTCCACTTTCTGTTGTGGGCTGAAAGGCCACTCCATGCAGGGTCTGTAGTCGCAAGGTGCGAGCCTGTCGCTCCGCTATGCGCAAGAGGCCCTGCTGGTCGCGCTGAGCAGGCGTCGGAGGGTCGACCAGCTTCAAGTCGGCCTTCGTGAAGCCGTAGGGCTTGGATTCGATCTGGACGCGCCGCAGCGGACGCTGCTGCATCAGGCGTCGAGCATCCGCTCTCTTCTCGGCACGGTCAGCGGCGCGAAGGCCTCGCTCCTCGTCGGAGAGGGGGGGCACGCGCTTGGACTAAGAAGATTTCATAGGGATGAGGATTAAGGATATCTTAGTAGATCCTCTGTTAATTCATTGTGCATTTTGCCCTCAACTACCTACGTTTTCTTCCACAGTGCTAGAAGTGGTAGCACTTCCTGGTTCTCTCGCCTCATGCCCCGTCAAACCGCCGTACGTAGCCAGTCTTCTGAGACGGTGGTGTGGTCGTTTGCAGAGAAAGCACATCGCCAAAGGTTTTCAAAACGTGGTCTTTGCTACCAGTTACCTGGTGATAGTCTCAGCAACAAAATCCATACACGTTCTGAGTGATCTGCTACAGTAGTGTACGCCCCGTAGCAAGACCCGCAAGCCCCAACTCGCGGCCACGAAAGACATCGGCGAATTATTCGACTATCCGGATCTGCCGGTAAGCTACGCCAAGACCTTTGCGTGTTGACCCGTCACCAACGCGTGGTTATCAACAAGTTGCGTGCCCAGAACTCCGACTCGCGCAACGCTATTCAAGAGATCACAGACATATTGTTCCACCGGAACGACCAAATCGAAGAACTGATTGAAGAAGTCCTCGACCGGAAGATCCAAGTGTACTACAAGGCCCGCAAGATCAAGACTGAAGCAAGAGTAAGATCGAAGTTCGAAGTAGAGAAATTCAATTTCACCAGAATTACAAGATGGATGAATTTTTGCACACAATGGCAGAATCTTTTCAGCGACATGAACAGCTGTTGGAAATACTTACCCGCACCCAAGCCGCTCAAGTGGAAGCGAGCGAGCGTATGGCCAATCAACACATGGAACGAACGACACGACAAACAGAGCTTATAGTTGAAGGATTAAGAATGCCCAAGTATTATGGACGAATGACGAAAGTATTAGTCTATATATCCACCAAGTTACGACATTTTCAAGGCAAAGAACGTGGATTCCCAAGAAAACGATGGGACTCAAAAGCGATGCATTGCCATGATGGTGTCAAATTTCTGTGGCCTTGCCGCAGCCTGGTACCACGAACGGCTTTCGCGCGGTGAGTCTCAAGCACCCTCATTGAACTAGAAGAAGAGCTGCGAGCCGAGTTTGAACCCGACGATTTACAAGATCGGTTGCGTGATCAGCTATACGAATTGAAGCAATCCAAGTGTGCGAGCTTGACCTAGTATGCTGCCAAGTTCCGACGAATCTGTACGCAAGTGTGCGACATGACCGAGGGCGACAAGGTGTCCTGGTTCCAACGTGGTCTGCGAACCAGTACCCGTGAGGAGTTGCAGTATCGTCGTTGTGAGACTGTGACTCTCGCGATCCAAGATGCCCTGGACTTTGAGCACTCCCACAACTCGACCCTTAACGGTGGTTACGCCAGAGACCGCGACCGCTTTCATCGCCACGATCGCCGCCCGCATCAAGGATTTCAAGATCGCCGCCTTCAGTTCAACAACCGACACCAAGGAAGTCGCCCACCGCATACGTATCCTCCACGCCAGCACCAAGATGACGAAATGGAAGTAGACAACGGCCAAGTACAACACCGTGGACAACGTCAAGTAGGCCCCTGTTACAACTGCAGACGCATGGGTCACAGAATCAGCGACTGCAGCTCTCCACCCCGGAACAATCAAGGAAGAAGCCAAGCCCAACCCCAGCGCAACAACATCTCAAGACATACCAACCGGCCTCAGCGACCCCAGCGCAATACACCAAGTCGTCAGCACAATGCCCAAGTAACCGAAGTCAACAGCAACACAGAAGACAGCGAAGATGACGTAGACGAAGTGATCCTAGGCAACAACCATGGGCCTCGTCCAGCAATACTCCGCGGAGGAGGAGTCACTTAACATCAATACCGCCGAGCAAGCAGTGCCAGCGCGTGAAAACAAGTTGATGATAGTTCACGGCGCACTCGACAGCACAAGCGTTCACATCCTGATCGACTTTGGTGCCTCGAACTTGCTTTGCCACCCAGGTTTGGCCAAGACAGTGATCCGTTCCAAGGAAGTTCAAACAGAAACAGAATGCTTCGATGGACACTGCCCTGTCATCAAGAAAGTGAAGGAAGTATCTGGCACACTTTGCTTTGGTCAATGGACGTTCCCGGATGTTATACTTACCCAGTGGGATCTCGGGAAGGACTTTGACGTCATATTGGGGAAACCCTGGTTCTTTCGTTGCAACCCTGTCATCGACTGGCGTACCCACCAAATCCTCAACGCCAACTCAAGTGAAGTCGAGCCTGCACGAATCTAAAGATGAATGATCAAAGTCACGACGAAAACAGAACCTCAGCAGAAGTTACACCCGCTCGTGGCCAGGGTCGTGGATGAATTTCGTGACGTGTTTCCCGACAAGTTACCCAACACGTTACCACTGCCGCGTGGGATTGAGTTCGATTTGATAATGAAGCCTGACGCGAGACCCCAGCACCGACCCCGTTTCGATTGTCCAAGGTGGAAGCAGGTTCTTTGGACACGTTCGTCGACGATCTGTTGCAAAAGGGCTGGATCGAGCTCTCGAACAGCGACTGTATTCAACATCTTCGGTGTTCCCAAGCGAGGTGATGATGGCCAGATGCTTTCATGCTGTGAGTGGCTTCGTACCGCCACGCCCGACACCCCTATACGATGGGTGTTGGATTACCGCCATGTCAACTCTCAGTCCATTCATTGTGCCAAAGATCCCAACATTGAAGACCTGTTTGACCGCATGCACGGATGCCGAGTCTTTACGAAGATCGACTAGTGTATGGCTACCACCAAATGCTCGTGATGCCATCAGCGCGGAAGTACACCTCCATCAAAACCCATCGTGATGTTTATGAATGGGTAGTGGCCCCAATGGGTATGGCAGGCATGCCAGGCATTTGGTCGCGCCTTATGCGTCGAAGAGCACGCTGATCATTTGCGTTCAATTTGCACTGTCCTTCGCACCGAGAAGCTATATGTGCGTCCTTCCAAGTGCTCGTTTGGTGTCGACTCTGTCAACGTTTTGGGTCACACCATTTCAAAAGATGGCCTCGACGTTGACCAGTCCAAAGTCCGTGCTATCGAAAAGTAGCCGGGGCCTCAGTCGAGAAAATACGTCATGAGTTTTGTCAGTCTTGCCAGTTCCTACCTACCGCAAGTTCATCCCCGACTTCGCGGAGCTCGTCCGTCCCCTTAGTGGATTGCTGAAGAAAGGAGCCAAGTGGCGCTGGAGCGAAGACGAGCGTCGAGCGTTTTTGACAATCAAGTTCACGTTGCAGCAAGCCCCTGTTTTGCAATTGCCTCATTACAACAAGCCATTTGTGGTTACCACCGGCGCCTCTGGTTTCTGCTGTGGTGCAGTCATTTCCCAGCTCGACGGCGACGGCAGTGATCGGCCCGTTGCTTTCATGTCCAAGCGCCTCGGTCCTCACGAACAGAATTGGCCCGCGCACGAAAAAAAACTGTACGCCATTAAGTTGGCTCTGGGCAAGTGACGCCATTACCTGCATGGCAATCGGTTCGATGTATACCCCGACAACTCCTGCTGCAAGTGGTTCATGACAACGCCGGTCCTTACGCCCAAGTTGACGCGTTGGCTTGATTTTTCTGTTGTTTCGACTTTGCCCTCCATCACCGCCCCGGCAAGTTAAATGTGGTAGCTGATGCCTTGTCTCGGCCTCCACAGGTCACCTCCACTGTGCACCAGCTCTCCATCCACGCGTGTGGTATCCACTGTGCCTCAGTCGCGGCACGCATCAATTGACTTCTTGTCCATGCCTCGACTCTCTCTACCTACACAACTCGTGACATCGCCGTCATTGTCGACTCTCCTTTTTGGGGGAGGAGTTGGAGGAGCAAAACTGAGTGCTAGTGCCTCAACGCCTAACGGTGAACCACTCGAAGCAAGTGTTCTTTAGCACCATCGAGATGGACACCAAAGCCAAGGAACGTTTTGTGAAGGCATACGCAAAGGACCCAGGGACAAAGTCGAAGAAAAGTGAAGCCTTCAAGTGGAAGGAAGGACTATGCTTTCTGCGAAGCCAAGGCCAATTTTAGAAGCTATGTGTCCCCAACGATGACGTGCTATGCACCGAGATTTTATCTCACGCGCACGAATCAAGCACTGCTGCGCACCCTGGAACTCGATACAATGTTAAGTGTAGTGCAGTGGTACTACTGGAACAGTCTTGCCGAAGACGTGAAGTTATACGTCGCGACTTGCGAAACATGCAGTCGATACAAGACGATCAGTCTGCGTGCAAATGGCAAGATGATTCCCATTCCCGCGGCGGAAGAGTGTTGGCAAACTGTTTCAGAGGATTGGATCACCGGTTTTCCCGTGTCAAAAGGCTATGATGCCATTTTGGTCGTGGTAGACAAGCTCTCCAAGCGGTCGAAGTACATCCCGACGAGATCATATGTCGACGCACCCCAAACCGCGAAGGAATTCTTCGAACATGTTGTTCGCCACCATGGAGTACCAGCAATGATCATCAGCGACTGTGGCCCCAAGTTTACAAGCACGTTTTGGAAGTCCCTCATGGAGATTATGGGTATCCGCCAAGCCATGACCAAACCGCTGGCAAAGCTCAAGCCGATAGAGCGACTGAGCGTCAGAATCGAACTCTCGAAGATGCGCTCAGATGTCAGGTGTCGTATCTAGGACAAGACTGGGTCGACCATTTGGATCGAGTATGCCATCCAAGGATTGGTCCAAGCATCAACCGGCTTGACGCCGTTCGAAGTCGACACAGGTCGCAAGTTGCGTAACCCTGCCATGAGCGGCTCCTTGCCCAAGAATGACTCTGCCAAGAATTTTGCGGAATATCGAAAGGAAGTCATTCGGATGGCTCACGAGAATTTGACGAAGGCCCAGCAACGTCAGAAGGAGTATTATGACAAGTGCCGCTCGAACGTGACCTTCAAGGAAGGCGATCATGTGTTGCTAGCGGCGCGCAACCTGCCTCAAAAGCATGCCCAGATGCTCGACAAGTCCGAGCGTCCCAAGCTGATTCCACGATTCATCGGTCCCTTTGAAAACGTCAAAACCATCAATGACAACGCCATGCGCCTCAAGTTGCCTCGTTCGATGTCATGCATGTATGCATGACGTGTTCAACGTTGATCGACTTAAGCATTACCAGCGCAACAAAGCCAAGTTTGCCTCCCGGCCTATCCCGAAAGCTACTCCTGTTGTTCTAGACGAATCCACCGGCGAAGAAATGTACATTGTCGAAAAACTGCTCAAGAAGCGCCAGTTGAGGCACAAGTTGGAATATTTGGTCAAGTGGCATGGACAGCCCGAAAGCGAAGCCACGTGGGAATTGATGAAGGACATCAAGCACGTTGTGCACTTCAAGCAACTCTTGCAGGACTTAGAGTCAAGGCGTAGCAAGACGTCAGGAGGAGAATATAGCGATGTGACAGGTGGGGGTCACGCCTTGCCACCACCTTGCCCGCACCCAGCTCCTAAGGTGCCTGGCTCATCACGCACCCTACCTTATGCTTGCCTGGAGATTAGTCTCAAGGGCATGTATAGCTTAGAATCGCTAGCCTAGTGAAGTCCCCCAATGTCTCAACCGCACCCGCATCCATTGTATTCAAAAGTACATATTAGTGTAGAAGTAGTGAGGTAGACTAAGAAGATTTCATAGGGATGAGGACTAAGGAGATCTTAGTAGATCCTCAGTTGATTCATTGTGCATTTTACCTTTAACTACCTACGCTTCCTCCCGCAGTGCTACACTGAGTCGTCCAATAGCAGGCGTAACTATGCCTGTACAGGGTTCTTGGTCAAATGATGAGTTTGCTACCCTTGTTCCTATATGGTACCCCTCTCGCGGCAACAGGGTGTCGGCACTGCCAAGCGTTGCTCGCTCGAGGGGATCCACGCGCTTGGAGTTGACTTTTGGTTTCAACCGCGCTCGAGGAGTTTGGCGGGGGGAAGCACCCACCAGCCTCGCAAAATCCACGTTAACATCGTGAAATGCGTATATTTATGTTGCTATTGACTTCGTGTTTACAATAACAGCAGCTGAGCATCCTCAGCTCGCTTTGGCGGTGGAATTTCACTCTCAAGGGATATTAGACCACTCAATGTGTGGTGCGCTCAAATACGAATTTGAATGGGGAAACTTATGTCACGTTGAGTGAAGGATTGTTACCACTGGTATCACTCGCCTCGCAATAGCGAACAGCGTATTTTCAAACAAATATGGAGGTGAGAACACCAGTTCGTTCGTTGCGATGTGTATCTTAACCAGCTAGGATGGATGGACGACATTTCCTGATGAGACATGCTCCTACTTTAATCAAGTCAAACGAGGGACATTTGAGCCACAAAGCAAATGTGACCATTCTAGGAGTAGACCGAGTAACTTACTGTTAGTAGTACCAGTAGTACTGAGGTTAATATAAGGAAAACAGCAAGTATTAATAATACATTGTACTACTATTCAAACTGAATACTAGTAACAGGAAGACTCAACGATCCGCGATGATGGCGGTACACGCGTGTAGTCACCTAAACTGGAGTCCGTTCTACTGCTGGCCAAGCTTGATTGTTTCCAGATCTATCACAGGCTTGATGGAGTGTGACTTTCAACCGTGGCGTACATAATTTTATTGTACTACATTGGTTTCCAGGTAGAAAAGTGTACGGTACAGTGTACGGTACACTATGAGTAGATTCAGTGTACCGTCCTATCCATACTGTCGTACCGTGAACACTGATGCGTAGGTGATAGGGTGGTCGCCAACTGACGTCTCGCGATGTACGATCGACCCTATCAGGCTGCTGTTCAGCATGATTCATTTTGCACACCTACCGACAGAAGAACGTATGTCAACCGATCAAGAAGCGTTTCGGAATATTAATATACGAATTTAATTTCACATAGTAAGCTGTAGTATATCCAGCATAAAAACACAAGTGTGGGACGAAGCGCCGTTTCGAAAACCTCCGTCGTTGATTGGCTACTTGCCGAGCCAAAAGACCAAGGTATTGATAATTGCACTCGTGAAGTGGACCAGTTGAACCAAAGAGGATGCGCCTTGGGGCCGCCATGTACGATATCACCGGCCCTGCCGCAGAGGCTGGCATGTTTGGGTATGCACAGATCCACCAAGCGACCACTGGTATCCACATGCGCCTTCGTTCGCGAGCGTTCGTGTTCCACGACGACAGCACTTCGGTTGCCGATGACGAGACCAAGCACTTTGCCTTCGTCAGTGTCGACACTGGGTGCATCTCCGAGTTGATCACGCAGTCTGTGATCGCGCGACTGCAAGCGCACGACGACGTGTTCCCGTCCTCGACGTTTCAGACACACAACGTCATGCTGAGCGCGACGCACACGCATTGCGCGCCAGGTGGGTTGTCCGAATACCCGCTGTATAGCATGCATCCTCCATTAAAGGGGTTTGACAAGCAGGTACGACGAAGCATCATTCCCTTCGAACACCCTTCATGAGAGTTGTAGAATTTCGAGTGCGTCGTGGCCGGCATCGTGAAGTCCATCGTGCGCGCCTACCGCAACCTCCAGCCCGGCGTGATTCGCGTCGCACGCGGCGATTGCCTGGGTGCATCCATCAACCGATCGGTCGAAGCGTACAATGCCAACCCCATCGAGGAACGGCAACAATACGCACACAACACGGACAAGGAGATGACGCTGTGGCGGCTCGACGGAACGGACGGGTTTCCTATCGGCATGATCAACTGGTACTATCCAACCCTTGCCTTGCACATACATATATTTATTTCCTCGTTTTCCTATATCTATACTTCAAGTTTCTAATCTCTGATCCGTCATTAGGTTTGCTGTGCATCCCACCAGCATGGGCAGTTGGTTTACGTTGATCACGGGTGACAACAAGGTATGTCCGTCCACACACATATATATATATATATATATTATTTGCTGTTAACTTTTCATATGTACAGGGCTACGCGTCGTACGAATTTGAGCGGGAACGGGGTACCGTCCATTTGATGGACCGGCCGCGCTGCTTTGTAGCGGCATTTGCCCAGAGCAACGAAGGCGATGTGAGCCCCAATATCTTTGGGCCCCGCACGTCCGCCAACGAGCACCACGACTTAGAGCGCATGGAGATCGTCGCCGAGGCGCAGCTGGAAACGGCGCGGCACCTGTACATGTCGGCGGCGACGGCGGCGCCCGAGGCCACGTCCGCCATCCGATGTGTGCATCAATATGTCGACTACAACTCGATAGCCCTGGGCACCAAGTGGCACGTTCACAAGGAGTGCTCGCCGTCGACGTCGTCCGGGTGCATTGGGGTATCGATGCTGAGCGGGACGCACTTCGACGGCCGCGGCGTACGGCTGATCCCGGAGGGGCTGCAGTGGGGCGCCAAATGCTGGTTCACACTCATGCCACAGACGCAGTCGATGCAGAAGGAGAAGCCCATCATCTTCCCGACGGCGTCCACGGGCATGTCGCCTTCGATCCTGCCGCTGCAGCTGGTCGTGCTCGGGCCGTCGTTGGTGCTGGCGGCGATGCCGTTTGAAACGACGACGATGGCCGGACGGCGGCTGCGGCGGTCGATTGCCGCCGCGTTGGAGCTGCCGACTGCCAACACGGTGGTGCTGGCGGGACTTGCGAATGCCTACTGCGGGTACATGACGACGCGCGAAGAGTATGCGATCCAGCGGTACGAAGGGGCGTCTACGCACTTTGGACCCAACCAACTGGTGGCCACACAGCAGCAGTTTGACGAGCTCGCGACTGCCCTCCGTTTACGAACGTTGCCGCCGTCGGCCCCCCAGCCGCACAAGGTTAGCACGTCCAACTGGCACACGCCCGTGCTCCACGACAGCGCGGGGGGCGCTAGCTGGAGGTTTGGCCAGGTCGTCGTGGACGAAGAGAGGCAGTCGTTGGGGCCAGGGGACATAGCGCAAGCTGTGTTTTGTGCTGGCCATCCCAAGAACGACCTGCGCGTTCAAAGTACATTCTTGGAGATCCAGCGGTGGCGGTCCTTTGCCGGGTGTGGGTGCGGAAGTGGCAGTGGGGGTGTGTGGGTACTGCATGCCGACGACAGCGACCCGCAGACGTTTTTCCACTGGAAACGAAGTGGGCTGTCGGCGTCGTTGGTGACGATTGTGTGGCACATTCCACCGTCGACGCCCCCGGGAAGGTACCGCATCAAGCACAATGGACACTACAAGCAGCACTGGAACAACGACGTGGTGGTGGCCTACTGCGGCGTCTCGCGGGCATTTGACGTGGACGAAGTAGCTAAGGGCTCGACGAAGCCAGTGGGCGACACGTTGGCCGAGACGCTCCAAGAGACGAATGTGCTGTATCGGGTGCCGGAGCCGACTACGGTGAGGATGGGGCATGCCGACGAGAAGGAAGAGGCGGAGATGGATTGGACGTCGCCGTCATTGAAGCGGCGCATGACGGGGGGCCGGTGGCCGTCGGGGAAGTGGAAACAGGATGGCTAAGACGAATCCAACGAGATTATTATATACAAAGAAAGGGGGTGTATTTGTGGTGGTATATATCATTTTGTTGGCTCTACGCATCGTGGACTTCGACAATCGCTTCGATTTCCACGGGGACGTTCAACGGGAGGCCGTTGGTGCCCACGGCGGAGCGGGCGCCGACGCCGTGGTCGCCAAATACCTTGGCAAACGTGTCGGACGCGCCGTTGATGACGGTGGGCTGCGCGGCGAACCCGTCGACGGCGTTGACGAACCCGGTCAACTTGACGATTTGCTTGATCTTGTTCAAGTCGCCCAACTCGTGTTGCAGGGTTGCGAGGAGCGCGAGGGCCACGACGTGCGCGGCATCGTACGCTTGCTCGGTTGTGAGGTCGACGCCGACCTTGCCGGTGATCAACGCGCCGTTGGCGGGCGTGGGGATGTGTCCGGCCGTATAGATCAAGTTGCCGACGCGGGTGAGGAGCTTATAGTTGCCCTTGGGAGGCGACACGGCGGGAAGGACGTAGCCGAGTTCAGCGAGGCGCGCAGTGTAGTCAGTCATGATCAGTCAATTCGAGAATGACCACAAGGTATACGTATCGGTGATGTGTCATCGTTCTTGTCACCAGCTACTACTAAGCGCCATTAGTACTACTGACTACTACTAGTAGATACTAGGCACAGTGAAGTATCATTGGCTAAAATATAGCCAATCGACAGGACGCTTCCCAAATCGTCGGGTTAACCGGATAATATTGAGCCAATCAAATCCTGTCATTTAGTTGACTGGTGCACAGTGCCGTTGGAGTTTTAATTCCTGTCATTTCCAATTTCGCCAGTATTGCATCACAAGGTATAGTGAATGTGAAGTGTAGTTCCGGAAGGATTTACAGTATCGCATGTCGTGTACAAGATGAACCAACCACGAAAGGATTCGAGTGATTACCAAAAAACACGGGAGTTTTGCATCGCCGCGCGATCGCGAACGATGATTTCCAAGAGATTTCTGCCTGACGAATCCTCCTTTTCCTTGTACTAGTCGTAGTAGTATATAGTCGTAACGTTAGTAGTACTAGCAGTAGGATCGGTTGTCTTATCGAAGCGGCGGCGCCGTGGGTTTGCGGACGTCGTTTGCTTTTTTGTAGTCGATTTGTCGCTCGGCATTCAACGTGTCGTGATCCAGGTCCTCCACCTACAAAACGATAGCACGTTGTTGCCGTTAAGGTCGTTTTTGTTTGTGTTATTTTTACCTCTCGCATCAAACTGTCCACTTTGCGGATGCTGCCTTTGACAAACCGGCGACTCTTCCCTTTGTCCACGCTGGTGCCTCCCTTGACCCGAGGCGACGGCGGGATCCGCGGGGACACGAGCAGCGGCAGTACGTTTTTCCTACCAACCAGTTCTATTACTGTTGTCGACATTCTATGTTCAAAGTTACCGTTCGATCACGGGCATACGAAAGCCCGCGCGATATACAAACTCGGCGTCGCCTTCGCGGTCCAACGCGTCGTCCTCCTACCATCGATTGTTCAGGCTATGACGTGGCAAGCTAGAAACCTCGTCCGGATCGGGCAGCCCCAAGGTCGTGCGGGACACGTCTTTGTGCTGCCCATCTACTAGTACCATCATCATCATACCGAGAGCTAGCTCTCTTGTTTTGCAAGAGGGTGGTTGGCTAACTACTGTACCTCCCCCAGTGCTCGTGTCAAATCGAACGGGGCGACTGCATGCGATGCAGCACACCATGCCGGGGATGGTGCCGACGGACGTCGTGGGTTCTGCCGACGGTGGGATCTGCTCGCGCATGGCCTCCATGGCGCGGGTCACGCGGCGGCGGACGTTGTCCCCGAGCTCCATCTTGATGCGCTCAATGTCCTAACGTTATGTATGTCATTCGTTGATCAATATAGAGAGGTGCACACTTTTGCTTACTTTTTTGGTCAAGTCCTGCGTCAACGCGAGCTTGGCTTCGATGTTCTGGGCGAACGCTTCCAGCAATAGCGTCGGGTTGTATGCTGGAATGATGTTGCGGGGCTGCGAGCTCGACCGTTGCACTACTTACTCTTGTATCAGAGTTGGCCAATATGAACGTACACTGTACATATATATATATATATATATATATATATATATATATATTTACCTTCGAGGGAGACAAACATCTCTGCGACTTTTTCCGTGATGCTTTCCAGCTTGGCATTGAATAGCTTGTCCGACTCGATCGCGTCTTCGACGGGTATGGCCGACAGCTGCTTGTGTTCGCTGTCGTCGCTCTTCTCCTAGTACAGCCTCATCGTTCAAGTTCTATATATATATATATATATATATAAAGAACTGCGTGAACCTTTTTAAGCTCGAGACACAGCGACGCAATCAACTCGGCCTGCACGTCTAACGTCGTCTTGATGTCGCTGTCGTCGTACACTTTGGCGGCGGTCGTGGCCCCGCCTTGGAACTTGGACGACCCAAGCACGGCGTGGATCTTGGCCAATTCAGCAAAGATTTGAAACTACCACCAATACACTAACATCAACCCAAAACATATAGAATTCCACTACGAAAAATGAGGATACTTTGAGCTTGGACATGTGACTTTCTGTGACGCGGTCGGTCATGTCTCCTCGATAGGCGTGCACATTTCGAGTGAGCCCGCGAATATCGTCTTCAAACCCGTCCAGGCGGCGACAGCATGTGAGCAGCAGCTGCTCTAGTCGCTTGACGGCGTCGCTGCCTTCCCCTAGCGCCATTGCCTGCGCCGATAAGGACATTTTCTTGTCCAAGTGCGGCGGAGGAACGACGGTCGCGGGCGGCGGCGATGGCACTACCGTCGGTTTGGTTTAGCAATGTCTGATAGACAGGAACTACTACCACTAGTAGTATATACTTCTACTAGGTCGTACTCTTTGGTTTGAGAAGGGCCACTTCGGTGATTTCTTTCGACAACATGGTCACGCGGTTGTCCGTGTCCGTGCGCAGCCGCTTTTGCCACACGTTCCACAGCTCGTCCATCTATGATTGAGATATGAGTGTCTCTAAACCGAGGGAAGTTTACAGGAAAAGACCAACGTACCTGCACCCTAGCATGATCGTACTGCTTGACTAGTCCTTCGTTGTGCTTGTCCAACGTAGCTAGCAGCGTGTGGAGGGTCTGCAGTTGCGCTTCTCGAGGCGTCAAGTCGTCGACGCCCGTTGCTGAGGCTGCTCCGTCTTGGGTTTGGAGAAACGTATGGTGGAGTTGCTGCAACATCCCGTGCAACCCGTGACTGCTGGCTTGCAGCGTGGCCACCCCCGGCAGCGCGCGGTAATATTGCCGAAGCATCGCTTGCAACTCGGCCATCTTTGGATGCTCGTGCGCATCTGCCGCCCACATCTCATGCGTTAAACAACGACATACCCGTGAGACGGGTCTAGTACTATGTGTACCTGGTTTCTCCAGCTCCTTTCGAATCGCAGGGATCGCGTGCAGCCAGTCGGTTACTTGACCCATGAGGTGCTCCTGCAGGTGCAGCTGATGGTGCAACGCGTCCTTCTTGAGCTCCAAGTCGGCGTCCAGCTGCCGCAGATTCAGCCGCGCCCGACTCTCGTCCGAGTGCTTGACCTGCTGCCGCTGCGTCTGGAGCTCCTTCACCCATCCGTCCAGCGTAGCCAGGTGCCGCCGCAGGTCGTCCGTCGCGTTCGCCTGTGTCTGCCGCATCTCGGCCAACTTGCCAAACACCATCGACAGGTCCGGCGACGCCCCGTCCGACGACCCGCCCCCCATCAAACCTTGCATCAAACTCTACATATATATGATGAATTTTCTACATAGGTACTTCACGCAGTAAAAAGAAAGCACAACTTAATGTGGCCAATCAGAAAAGAGTAATGTCAGATTGACCAATGGGAGCGAAGAGTCATCGGGGCTTCATGGGTTCGTAAATTCGTACCAAATCAATAATATATATATATATATATATATATGGATATTATTGATTTGGCACAAATTTTGGTATTATATATATATAATACTATAATACCAAGTCTTACGTGGTTGTCCTGGAACGCATCCACTTGCGCTTTTAGTTTTCGCATGTCGTCTTGCACGGTTTTGACTGCGTGCTATATACAAACAACTGTATATGACACATCAAACAGCACACCTCGTTATAAGAACATCGTACGGCGGTGGCATCCGTGGTCGCATGGTCACTTCCGTGGGCTAGATGGAGGTCGCCCAACTGTTTCGTCAGTCGTTCAATGCGATCGGAGAGCCGTTGGATGTCGTCGTCATACTTGCGCGACGGAGGTATCGCTGCTACATCAGACAAATACTCGATGTAAGTATCTATATTGCGCTTCATCACCCACAGCTATATATATATATATTTACATATATTGGAACTCGTGGGGTGGCTATATATGTGTACTTTGTATAGCGCAGACAGCCAAAAAATCACGACTGGTTACACCGGGCTCTACTCTAGAACACATTGTGTGGTTTGTACCTACCTGGTGTAGCCAAGTCCGAGGCCGGAGTTGCTTTGGTTTTCGCGGCCAAATCGTCAAATGCACCGATCATGTCGTGCCGGAACTGCCCGGCGTCCATGTTGCATTGCACGACCTGGTTGTGGATCCCGGCCACCTGGTCATGCCACGTCACTCTGTCGGCTTCAACGTCGCGCACACGCGTGGCCAGTTGCTTGAGTTGCTGGTCGAGTTGTTCGACAAGCAACTTCTGCGCAGGGTCAAACATCATGCGCATGGTGGACGAACCATCATGCTTGCCCTTTTTTTGGGTGATCATGGTCGTTTCGGTCGGCGGAACGTGCGCCGGCCGCAGCACGTCGCCAGGGCCGTACGTTGGCTCCTCGTCCATGTCGTTGCTGTCGTCGTCGTCGTCGTCGTCGTCGCCGCCACTTAACCGTAGCAACTGCTCTTGCAACGCATTGAACCGAGTGTCCTGCATCGCGGCTTGCTGGGCGATTGCGTCCTTGAGCATGTTTTGGACGTCGTTCAGGAGCGCCGCCTTCATCAACTCGAACGCGACGGTCGTCACACAGTCGCCCAGTCGAATGCCCATCTGACCCACACTCAGTTTGACGTCTTGGATGGACGCGTCTTGCTGCGCCACTCGGTCTCCCAGTTCCCCTACTATCCCCATCTTGTTTGTCAGCATTTCTTCCCGGGTGCGGGATTCTTCCGTGTTGGCTTCCACATCGTGCAAGCGTCGTTCAACACCTTCGAGCTTGGACAGCAGGTCTTCGCTCGAGATTGATGGGGCGGTCGTGTGCTTGTTCATCTGACGAGTTTACGTAAGACTTGAAAAAAGGGTAGATTCGCACCTCTTGCTGGGCGCTGTCGACTTTGTGCATCTGCTTTGCAAGTTCCTGCAGCAAAATGTCGTGGTGGTGGATGGTAGTACCCACAGCTTGCATCACATGGGTCAAGGGAGCCACAGAGAACGTCATCAAGTTTGTGCTGAGCGACGCGTTGAATTGATCCGAGTTCCAGCTCGACGCCACGGGGACGTAACTCGTCCCTTTCCGAGCTGCCCCTGCTGGTGATCCTTCAATTGGCACACCTGTTCCTGCGGCGGAGGTACTTCGCTCCGTGACTAGTGGAGGTTGCGACGGCGGCGACGCGATATCCTCGTCCATGACGCCCTTGCTATGTGGCGCGGAATTGGTTACAGTTCTGAAAATAGATCGTAAGTACACGAAATTATATTGCGTGTTCATTGGCCGCCTTGGTTCAAAATGCCGCCAATAAAAACGACGTAATTTGTCGACTGTCCAATCGCGTGGCGTTATTTAATCGCATGTGATTGGGTTGCAGAAGAGTCACAGAAGATCCATTTACTTTTCAAATTTCGCGCGCTTTCACAGAACAGCCATGCGAAGCCCTATAATACGCTCGACAACACCGTCGCGCGAAGCCAAGGACACCACGACGGACGATGTAAGTGATGCATGTACCCACCCACCCATATTATCATCTTCATACATGCATACTTGTACTGGGTAGACGAACGAGCATGCCGGGAGCGTCGAGAGATGTCATAGACGAGAAATGATGACCTCGCCGCTCTCGAAGAAAGCAAACGTTTCTTCCAATCAACATCCCATTGGCACTCCGATCGCAAAGTTTGAGATATGGAACGAGTCTGAAGATGAGTCAGACGATGAGGCGACTTCAACAAGACCACAACCATTGGAGGACACTTTGTCCAAAGTGCCAAGTCACGATATTCACGCCGTGAACTCCACTTTCTACTCCCATCATTCCAAGTTTGACATCATTGATTGCATTGGTTGCATTGCCCATAAGCTTGGGTATTTGTGCAAGAAACTACCTAACAAAGCAGTGAGTCCCATGCGATGTATTTGGACGCTTGGACTAACTACCTACTTTTCAGGCGCTCGTGACCGGGCTGCTCTGCGCAGAAGAAGTATCCTTCGTGGTTTCGCTTCAAGTATGCTGCACAAAGCGAGGCATGATACGAATCGACTTTAACCGGATTGAGGTATGACTTGTCATGTGATCAAAAGTAAATTGTCGTCCAGGGAGACGAAATGAACTTCGTCCGCATGTGCGACATCTTTGAGAATATGGCCACAGTACTCGAGGGTGATATAGCGTAAGTAGCATTCCCGAATACTTGTAAAATGACCTCCTTCGTCGTTGCAGCGGGCCAAAACACCCCGATTCGTGGCTCGCTGTCGACGGCGCACCTCAGTTAAATCCTTGTCCCCCATTTTACCCCGACCAATTCGTGTCCTTGTGCAACGAATTCCTGGACGAAAGTGGATGGACCGACTCGATATACGTCGCAGCCTCCATCAAAGGCGCCTGTTTGCCCCCGCCCAACCGTGCGAAAATGGTCGCATTGCCTGTGGTGCACGGTGTCCTGCAATGCACAGTCTGCAAAATGATACTCAGCTCGTCGTACGAAATCTCACGGTATGGCGTCTTTGTGCTCAGCCTGTTCAACAAAGCCGACGCACTCGCATTCAAGTAAGTGTCAGCGTACCACCAAAGCCTAACTCATGGTTGCAGATTCGACAAAACTGTTTCCGATACCATCCACGACATGCAGGCGACGGATGCCATTCCACGAATGCGGGATATTGCGCGAATTGCCGGCAACATCATGGTTCCTTTACCAGCAGCAATGGAATAGATACGCCCAGTTTGGTGACCTGGATCATATCCTGCGTAGCGTTAGCATTCTTGTCGTCGTTAGGATTTATATGGCGACGGCAAGATCATGGAGGTAATTTGGGACGAAGTAGCACCCGCTCAAGTTGAGTTGGGGCATCTTTGACATCCCAAACGCATGATGTTGGCCGAATTACGTGTCATGTTATTGTATTTCAAGGGCTATTCTGTAGTTTGGGGACTCGTGAGTTTTTTCCTCGCGCGCTTCGTTGGTGATGCTGTGGGCGACATGCTGTTGAGCAGCGGCAGTAGGCTCTTGCCCAAGTTGTGTCGTCTAAATTGTGCATCTCTCTCATGAATCAAAGTGGCTTCATACACAGATCGTCGTACTTGTCGTTTGAAGGCATGCGAAACCCCGCGCGGTACACGTGATACTCGTCGCCTGGCTCGTCAATGGGCACGTCCTACCTCATCATGCACATGACATTTTCGACACCAGAAAGCCATTGTGTGTGGCTGGTGCGTACCAACGCCGGGTCGTGCGGCACCTTGATCATGGGCTCGGCTGGCAGTCGATCGTGAATCGTATCTACAACCACATCATGTTCACCAAGCGTTGCTGCAACGAAGAAGACCTTGGATGTTCGTTTCCAGCTTGACAGGGCGACTGCATGCGATGCACACCACGGGCTTGCTTCCTCCTAATCATCCCGTCACAACATTGAATTCAATCAATGTCAAGATTCCAAGAGGGCGATGGACGGATGGGTTGTACCCGCCGTGGTGCCGTCGCCAGCATCGACCGGACCAAATTGCATGGACTCTAGCGCCTTGGCCACGCGCTGCCGCACCAAATCGTTGAGTTCGTCCTTGATGTCGTGGATTTGCTACGACCAACACATGCACATATCAGTCCAACAATGCGCATCGGCCTTGCAAGCACATCAAATCGGAAATACCTTGCGGTTGAGCGATTGGGATTCCGCCAGTTTGGCCTCGATGTTTTGCGCAAAACTGTCGAGCATTTGCGCCGGGTTGTACGTGGGGATGGCGTGGCGGGGCTGCGCGTTGGACCGGTTCACTACTTACACCACAACACGTCATCATGTTGGCCTCTCAGTACGATTGGACAGACGTTCGAGACTCAAAAACAGCTCGGCGACTTTTTCCGTGATCGCTTCCAGCTTGGCGTTGAACGGGTCGTTGTCGTTGCTAAGTCTCGACAGAGAATGCCTTGCGCCGCCCGCGGCGGCGGCGGCGTCGTCGGTGGCTTTGTCCGCCAAGGACTTCATAAACCACAAAGGTCAGTTGTGGTGTAACGACCAACGATATGTACGTATATAGGCACCTGTTTGAGGTCGTTGCACAAGCTGGCAATCAGCTCGGCTTGGTCATCTAACGACGATTTGATCTCCGAGTCGTCGAGCACTTGCGCGGCTGGCACGGGGGCTCCTCCTTGGAACCGCGCCGATCCCAACACGGCATGGATCTTGGCCAATTCGGAAAACACTTGAAACTACGAGGCTTTGAGCATGCTGCAGTTACAATCATGTTCAGGGGTACCTTTAGCTTGGAGAGGTTGCCGGCCGTGACCTTGTCGTTCATGTCGTGCTTGTACGCCATGAGGTTCTTGCTCACGGCGCGGAGGGTGTCTTCGATGTCGTTCAGTCGGCGATTCGTCGACACGAGCTTCGTCTCGAGCACTTTCGAGTCGGCGTCCGACATGCCCCCTTGATTCGATTTTGCTACCCATTATCATCATCCTCCTCCTTCATAGTACACCACGTTGATAACATAACGTCAGCCTACCAACGTGGTTGGTCGTCGAAGGCTGGCGAGTTGGCCCGTGCTTGATCAATTCCCGCAATTCCTTGGACAGGATGGTGATCTTGCCCAGCATGTCCATGTGCATTTTCGCATTCCATGCATGCCACAACTCGTCCAGCTAGCATATTCCATCGTTAAAACACTGAACCAAATCATCATCAACAATCAATCGTCATACTTGGGTCCGACTGTGCCCTTGCTGTTTGATCATGTCGTTGTTGTGTTGTTCTAAACTCGACAGCATCTGATGTGTTTCATTCACCGTGTCGGCCAGTCCCCGCGCCTCCTGCATGCAATATTATATATATACATAGATTGGCTCAAACGCGTCTATATATATATCGACGTGGCTTTCGTACCTCGGGTGCTAGATGATTTACGTCGATGGCATGGGCAATGCGCTGCAACGCCTCGTGGGACAACGGCGGTAGCGCCAGCACCTGCGCGATCTGGGGGCCCATGTGGTGAAACACTTGAAACAGGTTTTGAATCTCAGCGCCTTTCTCTCCCTTGTCCACGTCCTGCCGCAGCTCCGCCACGCGCTGCATCAGGTCCAAGAGCGTCGTAAGCACTCGCTCCTGCACGTGGAGCCCCCGCTGCACCGCGTCCTTTTGATAGTTCACTTGCGCCTCCAACTGCCGCGCCATCAGCTTGGCCACAGAGGCATCGCGGTCGTCGCGGCTGTTGAGGGCGCTGTCGTGGGTGCCCACTTTGCTATTCAACACGTCCACATTGCTGATTAAACCGTCCAATCCGTCTTGGTGGATTGTCTGCCGCTCGACAAGGGCGTCCAAGTTGGCTTGGAGCGTCGCGGTGGCGTCCGTCTGCGCTTGTCGCATTTCCGCGAGCTTGGCAAACACCATCGACAGATCTGGCGCTCCCCCAGTCGTGCTTTGAAACCCTTGCATCAATGCCTACCATGTCAACAATTGCTCCATGTCATATCGGAATGGAACGAGAATACATTTCGTTATAAATACATTAATATATATATATATATTGTACTACCTGATTGTCCACAAGCGATTGCAAATCGGCGGCCACTTTGGCAACGTCGGCTTTGACTTTTTGCACCGATGTCTATACATCATGTCATCAGCAAACGATGGACATGAAAAGTGCTAACGTACTTTGTGCGTGTCCATGAGCGACGTGTGCACAACGTCGGCGGCGGCCAAATCTCGAAGGTGCTTGTCCACACTATTTAAGTGTTTGTCCAGATCCCGTTGCCGCGCCGACCTCTGCGCTTGCAAGTCGCGGACGTCCTTGTTGAGACCATCGAGAACGGTCGCTTGGCGGGTCACTTCCATCTCCATCACGCCGTTGTGTGGGGATGCCACGTCATCTGCAACACATGGTCACCAAATACCATCAGAATATGCTTCAACATACCGATCGCAATGGTAGGGAACGACGACGACCCGACCAGCGGTGTCACTTCGCTAGGGTCACTGATGTTAACAATACCACCCGTCGCCAACCGCTCGGCCAACTAAACACAAATAAGCCATGATTTATCCATTGAGCGGTATATCCAGGGGACGTACCCGTCTGGTGTCGGCCTGCACCTGATCGACGATTTCCTGGAGAGCCTCGTATTGCTGGCGTAAGGCTTCGAGCATCTGCTCCTCCTGGTCCAATCGTTGGTGAATATTGGCTACGCCATCCATCGCATTCGACTTGTGAGCTGCCTCCGCATTAGACTTTGACGGCAAATCCGGCGCGTCGGCTTGTAATCCGGACGGGTGGCTCTGTGCTCGATGGAGGGGGGGCAGGGGGGTCATGGAGTGCTGCTTCCCCTCTCCTTGTCGCCCTCCGATCGAGTTATTGTCGTGGCTGTTCAAGATGTCTTGAATGCGCTGGCGCTCCGAGTCGAACTCGGACTGCATGTACTGTTGCATGGCGTTCAGCTGCGCCTGCATCGATTGCTCCATCTCGTTCTTCCAATGTGGTTCGTCTTTCGTTGCTTCCTGTTGGCGCCCGAGCCGCACCTCGAGCTCGTCCAGGCGCTTCGCCAGATCCGCCACGGCACCTTCGTCCGGTCGACGGCTGCTGCTGCTGCCGCCTCCATCGTCGCTCATAGCGGCGCTGCTGCGAAGGGCCTCCACTTGCTGCGCGGTGCCTTGGATGGCGGCGTCCGCGGCGGCGGTCTTGGCTTCCAGCGGATGGATGAGAGCCAACAAGTCGGCGCGCAGGCTTTGAATGGCGTCTTGCATGTGATTCTCCAGCTCGTCGGCTTGATCGCGTACAACCTGGTTCGTCTAATAACATCAACAGGTTTGAACTTGATGGAACAGTAGCATCGAGAACTATGAGTAATACTTGAGCGAGGTGGTCCGCGTTCTCGACAGACTGCACGAGCAAATGCTGAAGCGTGTCGTCATGCTTGTGGAGCGTTGTGCCTGTGCAATGTGTATATATATGAGGTAGGTCGCTTCGAAAACCTGAGATTTCCAGTAGAATGGCGTACCCAAGACCTCTATGACTTTGGCCAGAGGACCTACGGACACGGCCAACGAGTACGACAGTAGCTCTGACTGCATCATGCACGTAAACTGGTTGTTGTCCCAAGCGGGAGGAGACATCCCGTCCTTCTTGGGGACGGGGTCAGGGGCTGCTTCTGCTGGGTTGGCATGTTCGTTTCGCAATCTCGCGGACATCGCCGCCGAGTCGCCGTCGCCGGGTACCACCTCCATCGTCGTATATTTTTAGGCTGCAGCAGTTGCGAAAGTAGTGTAACTGGTGACGGTTTTATCACACTATTTAGACCCCAATACTGTACAAGTCGACGTCCTTTGTCAACCTGTTCCTCATGTTGTCGTAGTATGTATACATACTCGAGTCATCAAGTGTACCAGCGCCCGACATGACACACGCCCCGCCCTCACTTTACCGCCAAGTACGGCGTTTCGCTCGGGCATCGTGGGCGATGTGCCACCAGCCACCCCGTATCGCATGTAGCCTTGTGTGTATAGCTTCATGGAGCGCCATCCTTGTCGTCCTTCCAACACGCCATGCTACCCTCGCCACGACGTGGCATCGCAATGCGACCTTTCAGAAGATGATTGCTCTGTACCGTAATATAGACCGCACGGTGACCTACTTTAACGCAAGACTGGCTCCACCAATGAAATCACAGGACATGGCTCTGTCGTCGGCCACATTCGAATTTGGCGGCGATGGTGGACGTGGACAACATGCAGGCGGCGCTGGAGCGAGAGATGGAGATCATCCAGCACAAGCTCGATATCTCGTCTCTCCTATACGACGACAACCGCGAGGGCAGTGACGCAGACGAGGACCTTCTTGCGGATGTTGGGTTCATGTACGACGACTGCCTCGAGAAGGTCACGTGCGAGTTCACGTACGGCGTCACGTCGGACACCGACCCGACTCCGCGCGTGAGTGTGTTCCTCAGTTACGTGCAGGACGACCCTGGTTTCGTTCAATCGGGCCACTACGTGTGGCCTGCCGCCCCCGCCTTGTGCGAGTACATGGTTGCGCATTTCAAGGAACTTCCTCGCGGCAATATCGTCGAGCTTGGTGCCGGTTGTGGCCTTGCCGGTCTTGTGTTTGCGCAGCTGGACCCGTCCTCGACCATCATCTTCACAGACCATGACCCGGGCGTCCTCAAGACGATCGAGCACAACGTGACGAAGCAATCCCATCGACCTAAGCAGGCCCGATGCCACACCCAGAGCCTTCGGTGGGGTCCCCAAGGCGCGAATGAGGTCGACTCCATCGATGCGCTGCAAGGAGGCACGAAAACAGACTTGATTGTCGGCACAGATGTGATTTATGCGCGGGAAATCGTGGCGCTGTTGTTCTGGACCGTAGACCGCCTGCTCACGTCGTCCAGCGAAGGCCAGTTCCTCATGTGCTCGAGCTTCTCATACGACGAAGACACGGAGAAGGAGATCGACGCCGCGTGCAGCAAGTACGGCTTGGTGCGCACCATCGTTACCGACACGCTGGGCACCAAGGGCACCCGAATCCAGTTGTTCGTTCGTCGAGACCACGAGGAGTAAACGATGTCAACGAATGCATATATTTTATTCTATCTCTCGGACGCAAACGCATACAATTTGTGCTTTTGCATGTACGCCAAGACGGGTGGGAGCACGAGTGCGGCGGCGGCGTCGCGGGACTGCCGCGCTTTGGTCGAAGACGAGTCATCCAACGACGGCACGGACGAAATCGTCACGGACGGATGGGACGAAGTGTCCAAGACGACACCGTCCCGAGGGAGCACGACAAGATGAACCATGTCCAACAGGGCCAAACCGCCTTTCCACTTGCCTTGTACGAGGTCCATGTACGTGTCTGCACCGAGGAGCCACGAGAACTGCACGTCCGGGTTGGCCGCTTGGAGGTTGGCGATAATGTCGACGGTACCAATGCGAATGGAAGATGGTTCTGCATCGGGCGGAAGGGACGTCAATGCTTGCATCCACACATCTTTCTCCGTCTCGACGATGCGCACGCGATCGCCGTGGGGAATGGCCTGACGCGCCAATTCCAACATCGCCACGCGATGCTCAAAGGATTCCAGGTGCCGCTTGCTGGAGTAGATGTGTTGGTAGACAGGAAGTACCCAAACTTCATCATATTCCTGCGCAAAATGCTCGATGCAGCCCATGTGTCCGCCCATGCCGCACGGCGGGTTGGCCGACGTCCCAAACACGAGGACTCGCCGCATGTCCAAAGTCGAAATGGCGTGCGATTATCCGGATACGCGGGGAGTATTCGGATAGCGCATTCGTTTATCCGGATTGAATTGCCCCTTCTGTCAATTCAAATTGGAGGGAAAAACAGGCACATGCCATACGCATCGCTCCGTCGCGTGCTTCTGCCGCAGGTGGACCGCCGCGTGATGCGATCCACCATGCAAATCTACAGCGCCACTGCCATGCAGCAGCTCTACATCAGTCGTGTGGACACAAAGCAGCAATGGATCGTCGTGTCGAATCCGTCGACGAAGTATGTTGACTTGACACACCACCGGCTCACCAACGACGCCGGTACGGTCGTGTTTCACTTCCCCAAGGGCTACATCTTGCAGTCGGGTGAAGAAGTCACGGTGTGGTGCACCCCTGGGTCGAGTGACTTCAACTCGCACAATCTGTTGGACCCGTACCTTTTGTGGACGTCGCTCGACGGCAGGCTGTCCAGCTCTCCATTCTTCGTCAAGGCCCAGCCCCTACATGAAGTCATCCTTCTCGATGCATACCTCACCGAAGTCGCGTCGCTCCAGGTCACATCCACCGGCCAGAAAACGTTCCGAGTCAACAGCGCGTCGCCGCAACCGCTTTCGTACCCGTACTTGAATCCGTTCCATTTCCAACAACGGCATGGCGTGTATGTGTTTTCTCGGTATTGGGGCGTCGTGTCTGATCCCGCGTATGCTGCGCACTTCGCCGCCGTGTTCATCTGTCCCGTGGTATGCCTCCTTGTATCCTTCGACTCCTTCGAATGCGAATCACTCATCCCCGTCTTGGTAGATTGAAGTCGCGCGCATTCTTCTCATGTACAGCGTCCTCGCGCAAGTGTACTTGAAACCAACGGATCTGAACCCGTTCTACCTTCCGCTTGCGTTCCTCTGCGACCTGTTGGCGCGGTCCGCGTCGCTGTCCATCAAGGACGGCCACCTCGCCACGTTTCTTTCATTCTCGTCGTTCCTGGTCGACCAGTTCCATCTCCTGGCCGTGTACCTCAGCCTCATGGCGCTGTTCCCGTCCATGCACTCGGTGTACTCTGCGCTCCTGTCGGCCGAGTTCGCGCTGAACCTCGTTAGCCTGGCCGGACCACCCGCGCACTTTTTCACGACGCGCCACCAGTGGCACCAAGTGTATCGATGGTCCGAGGCAGTGCTCTACTCGAGCCCGACCGTCGTGTCCACGTGCTTTGTGGCCAAGGAAGCGTTCTTCTTCCTCCTCCACGTCAAGGCGTCGCCGCATGTAATGGCGAGCGTGTCCCCGCTCTTGCTCCACCTCGTGTTGTATGCGTGCATCCCGTGCGTGGTGCTGGCGACGGCCATGACGTTAGCGCGGGGCACGGCCATTGCTGTCCATTTGCTCACGTTACGTCGACAGAAGGAACGCCAAAGCTAGAAGCTCTAGTGTACCGGACGACATGATAACATGAAATATAGCCTCGCTTTCTGGATGTGTTTGTGTGTCATGAATGGATTGTATTATTGGTGGCGCAGAAAGGCTTAAACGACAGGAGAAGGTTCTTGGCGCGGCTGCTGTCGTGGGGGGTTGCTGCATCGGCATGGTCGCATGGGAGGGGTGGTTCGATGTCATTAGAACGAAGCACCTTCGGGGTGTTGCGGCAGACGTTTGTTGGCGGTAGACGCCATTTCGTTCCGCAACGCGACGAGCACTTGTTCAATGCCGTACGATCGTTGCCATGACGCCAGCACCCCTAGTCACACACAAGCCGCTCAGTTGTCGTGGCGATGAGGATAGGGATGGATGATGGTCGATTTTACCAAGACTGCGGGGGTTCACACGTCCGTTGGATTGATCGACGCAGGACATGTTGATGCGGCTCGTGAACAGAACCTCGGGCGGCGCGTTCGGGTAATTCTCTCCACAGTGGATCTTCAGACTGTAAATGCGCCCGTCGTGACTCGTCTACAGAACAACATCATGTCATACGAAGGCGACTTACAGAGGTGATGGCGTACACCAGCAGGGCCGAGGATCGTGCCAATCCAACTCGTGAGGAAAATGTCGTCCGCTTGCTCCAAACCATAACTGATGCTCATGTCGCCATGACCTTTTTCTGCGCTCTCCAGTTCTTCCAACAACTTAAAGTTGCGCGGCACTACAGAGTGCATGAGACATCATTACCCCACCTTCGCCATCGAGGAGCATCGTACCGATGACGACTTCCGCCCCAGCTTTCATCATCTTTCGTCGGCCGAAGGAAGGTTTTGTATTCACAAGGGGAACAACCACCCATTGGCTTTCCAAAATGTATTTTGGCCAATGAAATGCCACCATATCCCAAAAAAATTCCGCCAACCACCAATATGATAACAACTCAAGCTCAAAAAGCTCTGCTCCATACCGCAAAGTCATTCTTCACGGTGCAGCAGCATGGACTCATTCTCGGCAACATCCACATTAAATACATCTAGCGAACGGCGCAGTCCTTTTCTAGGCTTCGAGCCTTACGTTTGGCGGCTTCCACATGCACAAAGACGTGTATTTATCGATTTGTATGCACCGCGAACCAAGCCATCATTTCAAGGGGTTAAGGGTCCACTTAAACAATCTACTAACGTTACGTAGTAGTACTAGGATGCACGCTGTAGTTCACTGCCCATTGTATTTGGACGGAGGCTTCTTGTGGCAGGGGTTTTGAAACCGTGGGAATGTTGGTACCGAAGAAGAGTTTATTTAGTTTCAAAGGAAATAGGACAAACTTGGAATTTGATGTTTGTATTGGTGACTATAAAACCGCAACTGGCTTTCGAAGCATCCATTTATAGAGGTGCCGGGGTGGCTGTATAGGAGAAATAGTTTTGGCCGAACGACATGATGCCGATGGAGACTACGATTGCACCACCCTCCACGAAAGCCGCGACGACGACGACAGTTTCCTCTGCCGCAGAATATGGGAAACTAACCCCTTTGAACCCGGACGACTTAAAGCTGCCGCCTCCTCCACCGAGCGCCGCCGCGAAGGTCCGCAAGGACAACGATGCAATGTCGCTCTCCGAAGTGTGGGGCGAGATCAAGGGCAAATTCCACGAGAGCGTGACCGGGACGTCAGTGTCGGGCATCTTGAACGCGATTCGCGTTTGCAACTTCATCATGGCAGGAGGCATGATCGCCATTGCCATCTTGGAAATGCTCAACAAGAAAAGCTTCGGCAGCGCCATCAGCAGCATCATGGCCGTCGTCTACACCATGTAAGCACATTCGACTCTAATTGAGTATAGTCTCATCACCGACATTGTGGTAGTTTGTTTGGCCTGATCTTGATCGGGTACGAAACGCGCACCAAGTCGGGCGATGACTTTTTGCGCGCCAACTACGGCTTCCTGTACAACCCATGGGGCCGGTGCTTGTTCCTGTGCATGATCTCCATCTTCCCCTTTGGCATGTTCAGCCCCTACGGGTGGTTGTTTTCGATTTTTGGCTTTGCCAACGCGTACTTCAACTACTTTGTCATCACCAAGGTAACAACCGTCACCCACATGAGGTAGTCGTTCGTTCCTTTCCTGACTGTGTGTGGCATGTAGCATCCTTCATTCACCAGCGGCGTTCCGGACTACGAACCCCCTGTCGTGAACACAGTTGTGTAACTGCGACACGGAGACTGACGGCTATTTTATCATCTATGGACATACACGTGCGCCGCTTGCGAAGCGTTAACTTCCGTACATAAATGATGTGATTTTGCTCATGTGTTGTGGCTTGATGCTTGCGCCATACCTATCGCTACCGTTGCGAAGGTCATGTCGACGTGCTGTGCATGACGCTTATACGCGTATGCCTCCAGTCCACGATAAGTTGGAGGCCAGGAACAACCCACATGCTGTATCCGTCCATGTGTCCGTCCATCTTGCACTGAACCCCAAATGGCTAACTTGACTGGATTATCGAGTTATTTCGCTCAGAATATACCAAGGCTGGCAGGTTGGATTGGATTTGTGAACATGAAGCCAAGCGCAGAGAAGGCGAACGATGACAACGTGAACTGGGACATGGTGTACCAGCGGGCATGTCGACAGAAAGCGTGTGCGATCCAGATGTGTCTGTCACGACACAAGTACCAAGAGTCCAAGTGCCAAGCCGAGATTGACGCGTACAAGGCATGCTGCACAAAGGCACGGGGGCGAGATGAAGCATCCAGACAACAGCGTCACGATGCGTCCGCTTCCTCCTCCATCAATGCAACGAACGAGCACGTAACATAAACTCCGTCTTCTTAATGACTTAATGCCTGGGGAAGCGGGTCGGGGGCCGCGGCCGCGATGTGCTCGGCCTGGCTTTGCGGTCGCAGCATGACGTTACGGAACGACTTTCCCAGCATGGCAAACCGGATCGAGTGCATCAGCTGCATGTAGTCCGCGCTCACAAACATCATGCCCCTACACGTCCCCATCATCATCCCCTTGCTTCTCCATTACAAACGTGCATCCGTGTTACCCAACGATCATGAGCGAGTCACAGCAGAACGAGAAGAGGCCGATCGCCACGACTTGCATCACTTGGATACCCATGAGAAACGTCAGGAAGCGGAACGGATGGCGCCACACACAAATGTACATCCGAGAGGTCCACGCCCCTGGCTCGGCTTGGTTCCGCGCGCCCACCGCCTCCCATGTTCGTCCGTGGTGTCGGACGAACGTGCCTTGCTGGTACGACGTGCCGCAGGTCCAAGTCTACCAGCAGCACGACACATCATGGACCAGACTAGGAAGGAACGGTGTATCTGTCTACCTCAACGGTCGACGAAAGGACTTGGTCGTCGTCGCCAAGGTGGACGGCGTTCCATCCATGCAAGTCGTGCGCCGTGATTTGGTTTTGCGTGAAATGGAGAATGAAATACCTAGTGACGACACGGCGCTATGACAAATGCAATCAAAGCAACAAGTCGACGAAGAGATCAACGGACTTGGCGATGCCGGCCATGACGTTGTTAAACACGGCGGTGCTAATGACAGCGGTGGCGGCGGCGCGGTCGTAGATGAGTGTGGGGTTCTGAAGGAATGCAAGAAGGTTCAAGGATGATCGATGTGGGCAGGTTGTATGTATGCATGGTGGGCTACCACTTCGAGCACGAGGGTCACAACGCCGACAAAGTACGACTTTTCGAGGGCAAGTATGAATTCGAGGGGGGTGCCAAGCACGGGGTGATGGCGGAATTGCTCGGCCACCACCATGCACGCGCATCTACAGAGTGATGAGGACCATGTTTGGGGGAGGTTGTCGTCGTGGCCTACGGCAGGAGAAGGTGGGAGATGAGTTGGTAGAAGTCCTTGGTGGAGCGTATGAGAAAGAGAAGTGATAGGATGAGCATCGTGCCAGACACGGAGAAGCTGCGGAGGAGGGAGCTTTGCGGCGAGTTGTGGATGACCCTGCCGCAGGAGCCATACTTCTTGAGGTATTCAGCAACGAAGAATGATCGACCGAGCCACACGGACGAAAATACAAAGAGCGAAAACCGGCATTCAGAGAACAGCTACATCCATGTTGTACAGAAGGTTCCACGAGGGTTGGTAAGACGATCGATCGCTACGCACCGTGCCATACAGGATGAGCGTCTGCATGGAGAGGAGAGATAGATTGACCCTCCACGTGTTGAAGTCGATGGAGATCGGGACATCGCTCACTCGGGTGCGCAATCCACAGTAGTAGTTTTTCAGATCTTCCAGCGTCGCCGACACGCCGCGGCGTTGCGCAGCTTGCGTCGGTGCCATGACACGATTGTCCCGAAAATGGAATTTCGGAGCAAGCGTGATTGATATCCGGGTCTTTTATCCGGATTTGTGACTCTCCATGATACAGTACTTTCTGCCTATGCTGTCTGCAGGTGCTGCGAGGTGGTGGTGCATCTATGAACCACCTAGGACGTTGGATGGCACCCCCCATTTGAATCCATCAATGCAGTGGCACATGCATGAGGCAGAATCGACCGCCGTCTTGTCTGCAGTCACGAGACGGAGAGGTTGTCCCCTGCTCAATGCGCTATACCGCCTCAGTGGTAGGCCATGGTGTGATAAGCAGGCATGCCCATGCTTCACAGCGCTTCACGTCATAGTGCATCAAGATATCGCATGCTGCTTCCATCGCGGTCGGTCGACGCTGACCTTTCATACAGCCGACTCGCGTCTACACAACCACCGACTATGCACAAATGAGTTTCTTCAATCAACCGGATGTTATTATCCGTATACCGGGCCAGGTCCCAGTGAACTCGTGGAAAACTTCAACGCTTCCGCAGTGGCCGGCAATGGACTCAAGACAAGGGCAGCAGGTACCGGGGCAATCGGGCCTCGTCCATGTCACCAGCCCGGCGCCAGAGTCGGTTCAAGCGGCGACGGCGCCATATACACCGACCCTTACAGGCTTGGACACCGGCGACATCTTCCGCGACGAAGACGCGTTCCAGTGGCTGTTCCTGACATCAGACTTGGCGCCACTCGATCAGACCATGTCGTTTGGCGATGAAATCAAGGACGACGACTTGTTTCACTTTGTTCCCTCGGTCGAGTCGTCGCCAGATGCGCCGCCTCCCAGTCTATCCTCGACCTCGATGCAGTCGCGGCAGCACTCGTTGGACATTGCCGGCAGTAGTAGCCAACTCCCGCTCAAATCACCATCGTCTTCGTCCGTTTCCGTGGCTCCAAAACCTCCATTGATCAAGCGTGAATCGACGGCGGGGAGTTCCGTGGCATCGTTCGATTCCGACGAGTCGAGCTCGGACTCGGACGACGTGGACGACAGCGACGGCGCGTCCTCTAGCCAGACGACCGACCTGTCCAAGAAGAAGCGCAAGCGGCTCAAGCGTAACCGCGACTCGGCGAGGGAGAGCCGCAAGCGGCGCATGGCGCGCATCCAGGAGAACGAGCTGCGGCTCAAGAAGCTCGAACTCGAAAACGTCGACTTGAAGATGCGGCTGCAGATCGGCAAAGAAGCCATCGTCGTGGAGCGCCAGGAAAAGGCCAGCTACAAACAAAAGATGCGTCATTTGCTTCAGGTACAGTGCAATACCGTCTGTTTTGATTCGAACGTCGCAACAAAAGCAACCACCAACACACGATTAGACGGGCGCCAGTCCCGCCGAAGTCGCCCAGTACATTGAACTGTACAAGTCCAACTACAGCGACTACGGCGCCAAGCGGCGGGAAACCCTCGCGTTCCACGTCGCAAGGGTGCGGGACCTCCTCCTCCCCACCCAAGTGACCAAAATGTGCTTGTATTCCGTGGAGAATGCCGACGAAGTCAACAAGGCTTCATCGTCGTCTTCGTTGCCGCGGCAGGCCGCGACAGACCCAAACGAGCATGCCAACCTGTGGGAGATCCTCGCCAAGGAGCTCGACATCTCCGAAGCCCAGCAGCGCCAGATCTTCACCCGCCGCGACCAAATCAAGCGCCTGCGCGACAACTTGACCAAGAATCTGCGCAACTTGGCGGCGTTCGAAGTCGCCACCCAGGAGAAGAACCGGTCCCTGGACAACGAAGTGTCGCTGCTGCAGACGATCTTGACGCCCCAACAAGCCACCAAGTTTATCATTTGGTACGCGGATGATGGAATCTCTCGTATATGTGACACTGGTGGGATGGTGTGATTATTTTCGTAGGGTCAAGGACAACCCGGCGTTCATGTACATGTTGGACCAGCTCGTGCAATCTATCATTGCCGGCACCGACGGCGTCGACGACAGATCGTCGTCATAACTTAAGAACCAACATATACTGTAACGTAGATGGCTCGTTTACGTAAATGGCGAGTTTATAGTTTTAACTCAAATATTGGCTATATAGTACTAGTATTGATTGATTTTCGGAATAGCCAATCGAATCAGTGTAGAAAAATGAAATCAAAACCTAACAGTCACATTAACTGTAAGCAAATACAAATTTAAGCTTACTGTTAAACTGTAAGCTGAAGTCAAGCCGATTAAATAATCAGAAGAATGCCCAACCTTTCGGCTTCATACTATTCTTTTCAGAGTTGAAATCCCGGTCCAATAAGCTGCATTCTACGGCAAGGTCTCTTTCAAGTACTGTACACTATCAATTGACCATTTACGTTATGCAGTACATATGCATCGACAGGTCGAATGCGATGCAGGGTTTCCATTAAAATGTCGGACGTCTCGATGGTGTCGAGAACTTCCTCCAGAAATAAATATATAGATGCTCAGGGGATGTCCATGAAACTGACTGCGGACACAGCAGTTACGACATGCCCTACAGCTGCATCGCGCTGTAACGTGAAGGCGGCGTGGTGCAACATCAGTTACGAGGTGCATGGAAGGAAGCCACCGACTAGCGTGTGTGGATTCGTTGCTGGCGTTGCTTGAGCGAGAGACGAAGTTGCAGACAAACGGCGACGATGCCATTGGCAGCACCAGAAAGCAACAGGAATGCCTCTCCGTGTGCGGCCACTTTGTCGAATTGGCGTGCTCGCATGCGCTGTGGAGTGTCCAAGCCAGTATGAACTGGAAACCAGTGTGCAATCAACATCGAAATTCAACATCGTCGTAGAGGACGACAGGCCAGCATGGTCATTGCTGGGGAAATCGAAGGCGTTGCTTGACCTCCACAGCAACTCGATAGGCCAACGACCCGTTCACGACACCGTCCACATCACATGGCTCGAGCTACGTCTGCGAGTGGCCAAGCAGCTTGGAGCTGTGAGTCGACGCATCGGTACCAACGGGGTAACCATCATCATTCCACTTGAAAAACGTGCAATGGTAGATGCGATGGACGAGACCATGAAGTACGTGTACGAAGCAATGGCCATCGAATACACCTTGTTCGATGTCTTTTCTGCAGGTCTAGTATATTTGAAGCTTGTGCATTTTGCCCTTATAAACATATGCATATGGACTGTAGACAAGCACAGCCGCGACCGCGTCCTGCGCCACCGCACGTCGATTGCCAAAGCGCACATGCAGATTGCCGACTTTTTCGCCAGCGTACACGAGCACTCTGCCGCCGCCGTGAATGCTCAACATGCTGTAAGTTCGAGAAATGATAGAGTTCTCGTACTGGATATACGTTATTAGGCGTCGATGCTGTTTGAAGGGTTGGTCGTGTGGACCAAGCTGGCTCCGGCTGCCCAAGACACTACTGTGCGCGATCGCGTGGCGGGCAAGTTGGCGCTGGCACTGCACAACTATGGGGCCGAGCTCGAGCATTTGGACGAGGTCGGCGTAGCGCAAAATTTATAAACCAGTTCGTCTGATTTAAATGTGGTAGTCGTCGAACGCGCTGCAAGCGTACCGAAAGGCGTACGAAGTGAGCGCTGCGTGCTTTGGAAAAGACCACGACAACACCAAGACCATGGGGCGCACCCTTCAGTCGTTCTCGATGGCCCTGAAAGAAGGCCCGCTGTCGCCCCCGCCAAAGAAATGCCCGTCGCCCCCCCGAACCCCCCACGACAAGCAAGACCGATGGCGCTCCAGCACCATTTGGCCCGCCTTGCTCAAGCGACTACATGAGAACTATACAGACGACGTGATCACTTTTGACTTGTCCCCTCCAAAAAAGCCCCCAAAACAGTCCGGACCAGTCAGCACTGCCAAGGTAACGTCGATTCCTTGCATCTATCTCTACAAAAGTACTCACAAGAACTTGCAGCCAAAGCCCCCGCTCGTGATTGCCAACCCCATGACGTCCATGTTCGCCCCCAAGAACGTCACGTACGCCCCGGTGCTACTCCATCGAGAGGTCGTCACTCGCTCCACGGACGCCCCAACGAAACAACAGCGCCCCGCCACGGCAAAATCACCATGGAATAAGACGTCCCCTCCTAAAGACTCGTCTCCATACGCTTTCAATCCACGTCACCCTGTCGTGGCCGCCGCCCGACCTCCATTAGCATCCTTCGATGCCACCCCCCACCGCCCCAAGGTACGTCGTACAGTAGGCAAACGCTGGGACTCGGTGATGACATATCCTAGACGGCCGGCCTTATCAAGCGGACGACAACGACACCAGGCCAGCCATCGCCGCGTCTTCAAATGGGATCAATCACCAAACCGTTTGTGGCCGTTCCAGTATATGGGAATGGCGATCTGGCAGCACCAGATCCGATCCCTAGGGGCACGGATGCCCGTGACGGACTGCGAATACCCCAACGAGACACACTAGAAGACGACGAGACCGTTCCGACGCCCGTTGCAAAACTGCACGCGACGCTCAAGTTGGCCGAAGCTATGGCGGTAGAGGATGAAATGCACGAACCGTCGAGTGCTAGGTCCAAGTTGTTGGCCAAGCGCGAACAACGCATGCGAGAGCGACGACCGAGTGCCACGTCACAAATGACGAGCTCTCTCGATGCGATGCATTGTGCGGACTCTGACATGGACAGTACTGGTACTATCAATCATGACATACGGGACGACGACAAACCATCTGCGAGCGACCAACACAGTGACACTACGGGTGCTCACCGTGCTCACCCAGAAATGAACGAGGCATCAAGCGCCAACGCCAGACTAGAAATTGCTCGACAACTTTCAGAGCAAGTGCTTGGCTCGGTGTTACGAGCTGCGTCAAGCCCAGACAAAGGGGCGGGTGCAGTTTGTGGCCCAACTAAGGCCTCGTTGACCCCGCTGGCAGCGCACCATGCGGACAAGGGCAGTCCCATCTGTTCTGAAGACAACCAAGGGCCAATGGAACTGCCGCCAGTGGCTACCAGTCACGACTTTGTGCGGCAGTTGTCCCATCGAGTGGTGGAGTTCGTTTTTGAATCCCTGAGCCCCACTAATGCAGCTCAGAAACCGCCCCATCCGTCAGAGTTGGCCGTGGAGGAGGGCCCCAAGCTGCCGCCTCCTTCGCTTTCTCCAACGCCACGCCGCCTACCCACGCTTGACAATATCGACCTGGCACCAGCCACAATGACCGCGTTCATGGCCCCTCCCCAATCTTTATGGCGGACTCGAACCAACTCATGTGATTGTTCCATTGATTTGGAGGCAGTTGCGAGTGCAGTGGAATCGCAGCATTTGAACTCGCTGGTGGTTTCACTAACATGCACCCCCGACGAAGGGTTTCTAATCGAAGTTGATCCATCCTTTATCCCTGGCGATTTCCTCCAAAACGCGACGACCGCCCCTCATTCACTACCGACTGTGTGCTACGACCCCCCGCCCGACACGAACGACCCCTCCCCTCCAGAAAGCCACCTTCACATGCTGGCTCGACAATTCACTTCGCGTGTGTGTCATGCAGCGGTGCAGAGTCTCGTCCGTGTTGACTCGCTCGAAAGCGACGCTGACACCGCCTTGCTCACCCCTTCGTCTAGTCGTCATAGCCCCTCCACTGAATCCCCCGACAGCTTGGGCCTTGCATCACCCCCATCGACGTCGTCCGTGACCGTGACGACAACCGGTACTGTACCCCCTTTGATGTATGGACACATCTGTCATCGCCCCCTGTTCATGTTAGACGAGTCCCCCATGTCCCCTGCCAGGTCTAGTCGAAGTCGAAGGAGGAGGCGCTCCACCAGTTCAAGTAGTAGCAGTAGTAGCAGTAGTACTACTAGTAGTAGTAGTAGTAGCAGGAGTAGGTCACGGAGCAGCAGAAGTCGCTCCCACGTGAGTCTGTTGTCGTCGAGCTCTTCGTCGACGTCCACCGACACAATCGAATGCGACAGATCTTGTACGTTTCCTGCATCTCCTCCGTTAATCTTCCCATGATTGATCTCTCCACATAGCGCCAACGATAAGAAGTGGACCGACAAGCGACGCCACGTCACTTCCCTCGTCCTCCACGACAAGCAATCCCCCCGTTCCCCCACTGTCCCCCTAACGACGTTCGTCGCACTAGCTCACCCCCCCCCCACGTCCTTGGAGAAAACCTGTCGCGTCGAGAGTTTGAAATTAACTAACACGTATACATACATCTACGTTACGAGAACCACTTCTTCTTGGACGCGATGCACATGTGCATCATCTTGACCATATTGTCCGCCGTGCCGTTGGCGACCAGACTCTTGGGCACGCTGCCTCCAATGTCGACGTGATTGATGTACGTCATGTGGAAGCCGCCGTCCGCCGCCGGCTGGCACTCGAACGAGATGAAGTGCACATTCCCGCGCAGGACGCCGCCTTTCACGGCGATGTCCGGGCGGGCCACCCCCCCCTGCACGTACGCGTGCTCAGAGTGCTGGAATGCCAGCACCACAAAGTCACGCGAACTCACGAGTCCAAACCCGTGGGGTTTTTGGGTGTTGTGCACGACCGACACCGTCACATCGTCCACGACGATCTCGTCGACGACCTCGTTCGCGGCCATGCCTGTGTCCCACTTTTTCCGGACGGCTGGATCGGCGCTGGAGAGGAACGCGAGCATCTGGTCCGCGGTGGCGTCGGGCACGAACGCTTCCTACACGATGATTCCGTCACATGACGTTATCAAAAAGAATAGACAACAGGACGTGACATACCACTTTGAAAATCGGCTGCGCGTCGCCGCAATCGATTTCAAACAAAGAAATCGCGCCTTTCGACTTGGACTCGTTCTTGACCCATGCCGTGGATGCCTTGAGTTCATCGAACCGCGCCGCCAGTTCCGCCTTGCGCTGCCGGTAGTCGTCGACGGTGAGCGGGACGACGGCGGAGGCGCAGGGTGCGTCGGTGGACAGATCGTCCGAGGTATTGCTGCTGGTGGAGCACTTGCGGCGAGTGGAGATTCGACGCGATGGTTTGGCCAACGACGAACCACGGCAGGTTCCGCCGCTCCATGCCGGATGGATGAACACAAACGCAACGTACAGAATCGCCATGATACCTGCCCGATGCAGCAAGTCCAAGTCTTCGAGCATGACCGTTCCAAACAAGAGGGTTGCCGTGAAAAGGGACAGCCAGAGTCCCGTGTGACTTTGCCGAGATGGCACGTCGTCGTCCGAGTCGGCTTCGTCGACGAGGATGAACGTTCCATCGTCAGCGTCGTGGTCGTGTGTGTTGATGTCTCCGTCGGTCTCGGACGAGTCGGAGTTTGCTTGATTGAGGATGTTGGTGTCGTAGCAATTGGCGCAGAGGCGGGCGTGCAGCGCATGCTTGCCCAACTTGGACTTTTCCGAGTGGAACATGGGGATCTTCAGAGCACAAAGCGCACACACGATGTTTTTGCAGTTGCAGCACTGTTTGCACTGCAGCAGTCGGGAGAAGTGCCGCAGACACAGCTTGCATCTGTCTGGAGTGTACGCCTTGCCACCGAGTTTCTTTCCTCGGCGAGTGGATGAAGGCCCGGTGGAAGGTGTGCTCGATGGAAGGATGGCGTCCTTGTCGTTGGAGCTACTAGATGCAGAAGACAGACTTCGTCGTAGCTCTGTGTCCATCAAGGGCCGAGGCACTCCGTCAACAATCGCCATCACAGAGAAAGTTGGAGTGTGTTTCGCAGTGTTAACCAATTCCATGTCCGAAATTATGGTTATCCGGCTATTTCCTCTTTATCCGGATATTTCAGTTGGTCGGCACATTGCCATCGTCCGTAAATCCGAGGGATTTATCCTAGTCCTATGTGTGGCCAAATCCAAGTATACTCGATAAAGTATCCAAGTTGGGTTTACTGAATTCTATGGGAAAATTCCTGTTGAGTTCTTAATTAGGCATGGCTTGTCGTTCGAATTTCGAAGGCCAATGAAGATACCTGGGTTAGTTTGACAAGCACTTTACGGCTTGGATTGGCCTAGCCTATACAATACGACCACGACCACCGTTTAGTGCAAAAAGTCGCTTTGAGCAGAGACTCAGGACATCTAGATTCATGGCAATAAGCTCGGCGTTGACAATCGTCCTCGGCTAGGGTCCGTGAAGGTGTAGGTTCTGCACTTTGTGGCGAAGTTCAAGTGTTGGTAACTTGGCTATTTCTAGGACAGGGAAGAATTCCTCAAATCCTAACGTAGCACATGGTGCACGCGCAATCGTCGTCGTGGCATGCGTGGTTCTACGAACTACTGTATAAAGTAGACTATATGACTGGCTAATATTCAAATCTTCCATTTATACTTGAATTGAGTAAGCAAAGTCTCGTCTACACGACCAAAATCAACAGGATATCATGCATGATACTCTTCTAGTGGTCGTGATGCCGTTTTATGTATCTATGTCGTGTGAATTCAAAATTCTGAGTTGAATGCCCATTCATGGACGCACTGTCTGTCGACCCGGGCGGAGGATGGACATCTTACAGTAACGTTATGTGTGTGCGAGAGTAGTCCCTGGAAGGAGATTGCCCTGTGCACGACGGAGACCATCATGTGATCTTGGTGCCTGTACGAATCTCCTTCTCCTTGACTACGTAACCTACGGCGGTGCACCCAAGGCGAATATACTAGGACACATCGATCGGTACGTATATGGTTATAGTTGGGCGTCTGTAAAGTAGGGTTGGCGCAGCTTGTCCAGGGCGATCTTGATGGGCGGCAAGTTGTCGGAGAACGCATGTCGTGACGTTTTGGGCGGAAAGACGTCGTCGGACAGCGCCATGGCCACAACTTCCTCCTTGGTCAATGTATCGCGTCCGCATTCCGGCCACACATCCACCGTGATGGACGTGTCTTCCAAGTAGTCGACCAGCACCGCGGGCACCGTGAGCAGTCCCAGGTGGACAGCCACCATGTACCGATGGTGTCCATCGAGGATGGCGCCTGTCTTGCGGTCGACCAAGAGAGGTTCCAGGTACGCGTCCCACTTGACTGTCGCGCGGCGGAGTCCGTCCACGCGGGCTGCGCTGACGATGGCTTCGTGCGCTTTGAGCCACGCGACGAGCACCAGCACGACCTTTTGGCGCTTGGGTGACCGCTCCTTTTCGTTGTCGAGGCGGTACTTGTAAAAGTACGACGTAGGGTCCGTCATCCGCGAGGCAAAGAACTTCCGGTACGCGTTTCCAGCGTCGAGAACATCGTCCAGCGTCTGCGCTACGAGGCGGCCCTTGATGCGCGAGAAGGACGACGTCGGGTCGTTGGCGCGGATCGCGTCGAAGGCGACGCTGCGGTTTGGGTCCTTCTTGGCCGGCCGCGAGACCAAGTCCAGTGTGGACGAGCCCCCACTCGAAGGCCGCCGCTCGATTTCGCGGATACGGTGGCGAAACAACGAGCGGACGACAGACGTCGCCAAGTCGGACGCGCCACCCAAGAGCGTCAGGGACGTTTGCAGGACAAACTGCCGCTTGCTGAACCGGGGCGGCGGCGCGAGGTCTGTCGGCGGAGGGGACGCTGGCGACGGCAGGCTCGCGACCTCTGCATGGGCCAACTGCACGGCAGGACACCTAGACGGCCGGACAGCGTCAGAACTTGATACATTTGGGGTTTCGAGTGTAACGTACTCGTAGCCGAGCGTTCCTTCGGTGGGGTCCTGGTGCAGCACCGAGAGGGGGATGGAGATGGGAGGAAGGGAATCTGTGAAGCGATGGCGACTGGTCTTTGGAGGGAATACGTTGGGCGAGAGGGACATGTCGATCACTTGTTGCTTGGATAGCGACGACCGGCCGCAGTCTGGCCACACGTCGACGGTGATGAGGTCGTCGCCGAGGTAGTCGACCAGTACGCAAGGCAGCTGCTTCAGTTCCAGCTGCAGCCCCACCGTGTACCGATGGTGTCCGTCGAGGATGGCGCCGGTCTTGATGTCCACCAGGAGCGGCTCCGTGTACGCGCCCCACTTGAGCGTGGCGTTCTTGAGCCCGTCCACGCGGGCCCAACTTACGATTTCTTCGTGGGGTTTCAGCCACGACAGACTCACGAGGACTACCACCGCCTTGCGAGGAGCAAAGGGGGCGTCGTGGTACTTGTAAAAGTACGATGTTGGGTCAGTGTACCGAGACAGGAGAAAGTGTTTCTTGTCGCCCCCGGAGGAGGATGCACCTATGAACATGCATTAGATTGCCGAGAGATATTAAGTGGGAGTGAGTTATATGTACCATGGGAGGGTGCGATGTTGGCATCGTCTTGCGTCTTGGGCATCCACAAAGGCTTGCGAGGTTTGGCGACTGCGGTTAGAGGGTTGTCCCCCGTTGTGGCTAACACCGGCGATGATGTTGCTTCGGCGTCCTCTGTCTGGGTAAAGATGTTGCGCAACACGTCGGTAGTGTAGCCTTGCGCACTGAGAAACAACCGCATCGACACTTGCTTGAGGACGTCGCGCTTCCGACGACGTGGAACTTCAATCGACTCGATACCGTCGTCGTCATGGGCAGAAGGACCGCTTTTCTGACGCTTTGTCGGCACAGAACTTGAAGATACCCGCCGTTCCCGCGTCGTTCCCGCTGCGATGGGCTCGTTGATCATGGTCGTCAACTGGAAACTGACGGAAAATGTCGAGCCTTTCCTGGGGATGTTTTTATCGCCGCATCATCACCAGAAGTAGCGATTTGATTGGTGGATATTTCAGCCAAACTACATTTATCCAATCAGATTTGTTTGGTTCTGCTTTGAAGTCAACCTGCCTCGTTCGACGATCCCATTGGATGAAAAGAGAGAGATATTGTTGTGTTCATTAACAGTAAACTGGGGCCAAATGTACACAAGAATCGGAAGAAGGATTGAGCCAATCAGATTGCAGGAAACCGCTGTCAACGTCAAATTAGTCAGATAGTACGTCAATTAGTGCGATACCAATCACCACACAAAAACACCCGTTTACATACAAAATTCAGTACAAAAATCGAACGATAGATTTGGCGATTCAGCACTAAAGTCCAAATTTTAGGTAAAAGGACAATAGCTAAAATCCACGTTGTGACGTTATAAGTGATACCCGCCGCGACTGAAGCGATGGCCTTTGCAAGCACGGCAGAGAAGTAAGCCAGGCGCGTGCCTTTAGCGAGTGGTGCTATTCACGTGCCACCTGTCCATTCCATAACGTTAACGAACGTTAAGGATGTATAGCATTGAACAGTAGTACAACATGAAGATAATTTAAACTGGAGGTTTCTATACTACCTTGGTTTCATTGAGAGTGTGGGACGTTTGAACCGTCGCGACCTTTCACTCAACAACGCAAACATACACTAAACGATAGGTCACAAGCATTCCATCGCATGTCGGCTTTGCCAGCTCATGTACAGTAGGCGTCAGCATCATGTCGTGATGCTGAAAAGCCCACATCGCTGATGACAAGATCGAAGTTGCAGCATATGAAAGTACTTACTTGATCGTTGACTGAATTAGCAAAAGATACTTGCGAGTTTGACTTTACAATGCACAGCATGCATACTTGAATTCGCGATCGCACAGTGGAGCCCATGTACAGACTACACTGGGTCCACGTTGTATTGCAACAGCGCTAATTTACACGTTGTAAAGAATACTACAACCGATACCCGAGCATTTCGCAATACTAGTATACCAGGCGCGGTCACATGTCATCACAGCAACAACCCCGATGACAAATCCGTAATGAATGTGCTCGTGATGTCGTACTTCACCATTCAACATTGTGCACACATTATTGCCTCTCCTTGTCAAGCCCTGGATGAAGTTGCGCGGTACGCACCGTAGAAACAGCAACTTGGTTTGCCAAACGAAACTACCGTCCACTCCTTTTCAGGACACGGATGCAGGGAACGTTCCCACGGCTCACGTAAATCGTGTAGATAGCCTGGTCAACTCTTCCTGAAGCCCTTGTGGGTTTAATGGGGCTAACGTTTCGTGTCAAACAATCCGCATCAGTGCTTGGCCCGGTTCTAAAGGCCAACAGCAACGAAGCACGCTGGAGGAGTTCAATTCTGCCGGCGTCGGTGTCCGACCGGGCAGATTTGAGGATGAAAAGACTCAGGAGGAGGTTGATTGTATCTTGGGTTGAATTCCTGGAGGCTGGTTGGCTGATTGATTGACTTGAGCTGCAGTGACGTAGGGCCGTTCTACTGTTGACGTGCAACTCTTTCAACGTGCTGTAGAGGTATTTCCCCGGGGAACCTCCAGGGATTTTCCAGCAGACACGAGGGTAATACACGTTTGTCCCAAGTGGGTGTTCACTTCAACGTGGGATGGTGATTTTGTCCCCTTTTGCCAGTGTCAAGTTGAGATATCTGGTTCTGAGCGACTCAGCCCCACAAACCTCACTGCCTTTTCCCCATACAGCCCCCAGCACATCGCCGTTCTGAAAGTAGCTCCCTTCATAGCAAGCTTAAACCTTTAGATCTCCTGCTACATCGTGCTTCACGATTTGCGATACCATAAGGACATTTTTTTAATATGCAGCTGTTGGCAGTAAACAGGCAATCAGCGCCACTCTTCTTTCCAGTCACCATTTAGTGTTTTCCAAAGTCTTCGCGAGAACAATTCCTCGGCTGGCCATTGGTCGTAAATTGCAAAATCTCAACTCTACTGAACCCTAGGAGTCCTTTGTCTGTACAGTATAAAAAGACACATTGGCAGGTGCGAACTTATACTAACGTCGTAGCGTCCACTCGTGTACGGTAACCTTGATGCGGCATACCGGTACGTTCCGTTAGCACACCTTCCCCCACTACATTTGTCCATATAGGAAGTACGTAGCTCACCTTTCCCCTGACAATACCGGTACAGTACAGTACTATGAACACTTTAACTTTGCACTAACTTCCGGTTTGTATTGAGATTCGAGACATTTTGAAAGGACACGTCCTTTCCGCCACATGCATTTTCCGTGGAAGTACTGGCACACGTTTGTCCCTGGGTCAAACACTTGGTGGGACGTTGATTATCCCACGTTCCGCTGGCTTGGAGATTGTATGGGGTTAAGTTATCCGTATTTCCCACCATTCTAGCTAGACTCGCGTCCGGATACGTTTCAGTCGGAGATCCTTGATTATCGATCACTTCCTTTTTTCACTCGTCAAAGCAACTCAAGATGGCTAACCCTGATAAGGACCACCCCAAGGCGTACGACGTCATCGATCGTGTCGCCAAGAACGCCCACATCCAGGGCATTGACGCGTACAACTCAGAGTACAAGCGCTCGACGGAGAACCCCGACGAGTATTGGGCGGAAAAGGCGCGCGAGAACATCCTTTGGTTCCGCGACTTCGATCAAACCAAGAACGGACACTTCGAAAACGGCGATGTGACGTGGTTCTTGAACGGTCAGCTGAACGCGAGCACGAACTGTATTGATCGACACATCGCCAAGAACGGCGAAAAGACCGCCATCTTGTGGGAAAGCGACGAACCCGGCGTCCACCGCCGCATTTCGTACAACGAACTGCTCGCGGAAACGTGTAAGATCGCCAATGCTATGCTACTCAACGGCGTGCGCAAGGGAGACACCGTGGCCATTTACATGCCCATGATCCCCGAAGTCGCAATGGTCATGCTTGCTTGCACCCGTATCGGTGCCGTGCACAGCATCGTGTTTGCCGGGTTTTCGTCAGAAGCGTTGCGTGACCGCATTGTGGACGCCAAATCCAAGTGGGTGTTCATGGCCGACGAAGGCAAGCGCGGTGGCCGCACGCTGCAGCTAAAGAAGACTGTGGACGAAGCCATCGCCGGCTTGGACGTTGTCGAAAAGGTGTTTGTGTTCAAGCGCGCTGCCCAAGCATGGACCCCTTCGGGCAAAGAAATCGACATGAACGAACTCCTCCCCAAGATGCGTCCGTACTGCCCTGCCGTGTGGATGGACTCGGAAGACCTCATGTTCATCTTGTACACGTCCGGTTCCACCGGGCAGCCCAAGGGAGTCGCGCACACCACTGGCGGGTACCTCACGTACGCGCACGTGACGGCCAAGTACACGTTCGACTTGCAAGAAGACGACGTGTACGCGTGCGTGGCCGACTGCGGGTGGATCACGGGCCACTCGTACATTGTGTATGGCCCCCTCTCGAACGGTGCGACCACCGTCATGTTTGAGTCCACGCCCTTGTACCCGTACCCGAGCCGGTACTGGGATCTCGTCCAACGCTACAAGATCACTCAATTCTACACGGCCCCTACCGCCATCCGCGCGCTCATGAGCCACGGCGCCAACAAGCTCGAAGGTTACGATTTGAGCTCGCTCCGCATTCTCGGCAGTGTCGGTGAACCGATCAACCCCGAAGCGTGGCGCTGGTACTACGAAGTGGTCGGCAAGTCGCAATGCATGATCGTCGACACGTACTGGCAAACCGAAAGCGGCGGGCATTTGGGCACGGGGCTGCCAGGTGCCACCCCCATGAAGGCCGGGTCGTGCGGCCTTCCCTTCTTTGGCGTCGAGTTCACCCTGTTGAACGACCAAGGCGACGAAGTCCCCGGCAACAACGTCGAAGGCCGCTTGTGCGTCAAGAACCCATGGCCCGGTCTCGCCCGCACAGTCTATGGCGACCACTCCCGCTACCTCAACGTGTACATGCAGCCCCATCCCGGCTACTACTTCACGGGTGACGGCGCGCGCCGTGACAACGACGGGTACTACTGGATCACCGGTCGCATTGACGACGTCTTGTGCACGTCTGGCCATCGCATCGGCACGGCCGAGGTCGAAAGCGCGTTGGTCGCGCACAACGTGGTTACGGAGGCCGCCGTGGTCGGCGTGCCCCACCGCGTCAAGGGCGAGGGCATCTGCTGCTTTGTGACTCTCATCTACAGCGTCGAACCGAGCCCGCAAGTCGAGCAGGAACTGATCAAACAAGTCCGCCACGTGATTGGCGCGATCGCGTCGCCCGACGTGATTGTGTTCGTGTCCGGCCTCCCCAAGACCCGCAGTGGCAAGATCATGCGCCGCATCCTCCGCAAGATCGCGCACGGCGAATCCAGCTCCATCGGCGACGTCTCGACGTTGGCCGAACCTGCCGTGGTCCCCGAAATCATTGAAAAAACCGCCAAGGCGTTGTTGGGCAAGGCATTGTAAATAAATTCAAATGTATATAAATGAGTGATTCAAGTGTATACAGTAGTCCGTGTTTAGTAGTACTACTTCGTAGTACTTACTGGTAGTAATCTTCTGCACGCAAAGGCAGTTTGCCCACAAGGAAAGCAAGAGAGACCAAAGTACTGTAGTATTATAATACCAACAATCATCTCGTTGCCTTCACACCAACCTTGATGGCCGTCAAGGCTGTAACGTTATCTCACGAATGAGATCTGGGCGAATAAACTCCACAGGTGGGATCAAGGCAGGGTATATTCATGGACGGTCATGGTCGAGTCACACGACGACGTGTAGAGATGGCATTCGTCCAAGTCGACACTCGGGACTTGCTTGGTGTGGACGTGCAGCGCATGCAGCTGCTTGAGCGCTGGGGGTTCTCGTGAGTAAATAGATGAAAAGTTAGTAGTGGCTTGCCAAAGGTGCACCGTGGAATCGTTCGACGATGTCGCAACCACATCGTCGCAAGTCTACCACCACACACCATCATGACCTCCTCCTCCCAAACCAACACACACTTCAAAACGTACGGCAATGGACCGAACGGCGGCGTTGTGCACACGCACATCGAGTATCGGAGTGGGAGTCGATCCCGACGCATCCCATCCTTTGAGTGTGCCATCTTTGCTCACGGTCATCACCATGGCCTAACGACAACACGTAAACCCAAATGCGCGATTCAGTAAGAATATACGTACGTCAGAATACAGAGACATGGCCATGATGGCTTGATCGTGGCCTTTCAAAAGGGCCACGGGAGACTGCAGGTATCGGTCGTCCCAAATCTCCAAGTGCTACAACCCACAAAGTGTAATTCACCATCCATCGACGCGAAGTCGTAGCACAGTAGCTTACTTTGACCCCGCCCACATACAGCAAGTGCCTGCGTTTCTCCAGTGACGAGATGCACGGTGTGGCGCACTGGATGCGGCCAGTCACTGGGTTCGACGACGCGTTGCTCCACTGAATCATGTGCCCCGTGAGCGACCCTGTCCACACATTGTCCTCCTCCACCACCATGCACAGCAACCGGTCCGCGTTGGCCCACAGCACGCGCGTGTTGACAGACGTGCCAACGTCCCATCGGCGGATTGTCCCGTCGAACGAGGCGCTGTACAGGTCCGACGGGCTTGGCCCCCACGCCAACGACCACACGGCATTCTACAACGCTCAAGTTGTTGATATTTTCACAAGGAGAATCAAGAAGACAGAGGGTGAACCTGATGACCAGACAACGTGCTTAGAGGAGCAGTGTCCGACACAAGTGCAGAAGGTTTTCGCCACAGCTTGACGGTGTGGTCAAACGAGCACGTGGCAAAGAGGTTCCCGGTTGGTCCAAGGGACTTTTGGGCGGCAATGGCGTTGATGCCATCGGCATGGGCTGCTTTGGACAGCACACACCGCGCTGTGCCTTTCGTCCATGCGCGTCGTTGGTTGGATTTGTGCAAGAACACATGCTTCCACGCCGTCGACCGGCCATGTTGCAGGCCGAAGTGCGAGCGCGGGTACATTGACGTGTAAAGCGGCTGCCAGATTCGGTTGGTGGCGACGAGCAATTGAAAACGCCTGCACGTCATCTCCATGGTCAGCAGTTCTCGTGGCGCAAGGAAGGCGAAGATTAGAAGCGCCACGTCTGCTGGCAGAACCAGCTCCATGCAGTCCTTAGTTCTGCGCATCGCAAAAGATGGCAGCCGACAACTTCAACAGGTCTTAGTTTTCTACTACGGCTCAACCTCTAAAAACGAATATTTGGAACCGAACGTTTCATAAGATACAGGACGGTTTCAACCAGGCGACACACTAAACTGTCACGTCATGTGCAATGTCCTATTGAGACTTACCAACTGTCCCGAATGATGTGCGTACCGGTAGTCGGTAGTAGATCTCAAGACGATTCCACACTTTGATAGATGGTTTCAACGGCCATCCGCTAGATTTTACCACGACTCGTTCGCCATAGCCGCGTGGAAATGCGCTGATCGCGTGCCATACACGAACGACATCGCATGTTTGGAGCGACATAGGGTCGTGGTTGGGATGGAAAACGAGCCGTTTTGAGTATATAACAGCCAATATGATCGAAATTGCATTTAGTAGACTGCCATATAAATCAAATACATGTAGCGAAGAAGAACGTAGTATCCTGGAACCGTGGCCAACAAGATGAGAGGTTGAGCACCGCCTTGCTTGACGCCGCCCAAATATGCCAAGACGGGGTACAAGAAGCGGATGCCGACGTAGACCCAGCCAAGCCAGACTTCCTTTGCTCCCGCCACAACGATGTTGGTCCAAAAGAGCACGAGAAATGCGCCTTGCCACTCGACAAAATTCCCCACAGAGCGATCTCCGGCCAGCATTGTGTCGCTCGTGTATCGGTTGAATCGTTCTTTGGATTTCTCGTCCGCCTTGTCCTTCTTGTGTCGGTTCATCGCGCTGAACTTGGATACAGCTTGCATTACGATGGCAAAGAGGAACGATGCAACATATCCCAGCATAACGCGGGCTCCTTCGAGGTGCGCAAGGTCCGTCATTCGGAGTTCGAGGATAAAATCTCTATGACGACTTTCATATGCCGTGGATTATCCGGAATGTGTTGTATCCGGATAGTATCCAAATGGTACGTCTCACCGGATAACGTCTTCTCCGTCTGATTGGCCAGGGTGGGTGCCATTCAATTCTTCCATCTCAATTCCTGTTTAGCCAAATCAATATGAGCTCCCAGCGCGGCAACTTGAAGAAGGGTGCGCCGAAGTACCAGAACTCGTTCGCGTTCACGCACAACCCCAAGTCGAAGAAGACAGATCACATCTTGGGCTTGCCAATCCATGGCCTCTGCCCCCACTGCCACGCCCAGATTGTGTGGCGCAAGAAGTACCGCAAGTACAAGCCGCTGACCCAGCCAGCGTCGTGGTACGCCGGCATATCCTCGATCCCACTCTGAATCACAATTGATGTGCGCTCGTTTAGTACGTCTTGCCACCAGAAGACAGTCCTTTCGGCGTATCATGTCTTGTGCCATCCTTGTGCAAAGGTACAAACCAGCTCGACATGGACCATTTGATGTCCTTAGTCTGACGATGTTCATGATCGTAGGAAAAAGGTGTGTGCGCCAAGTGCTGCAAATCGGAAGATTTGGTGCTCAGGTATGTCCACTGCTCCACTCTTCTGCATTATTCGACATACTCATGGGGGTCTCGCGTAGTGAACAACAATTGGCCGAGCAAAAGGGCGAAGACGACAAGGATTTCTCCGAGCAGTTGGAAGGGCTGAAGGAACGCGAACGTCGAAAGGTGCTCCGTCAGAAGAAAAAAGAAGAGGACGAAGCGTATGCGCTCGCACGCGCTGCTCGCCGGGCCCGACTTGGCCTCGACCAAGGCGGCGGAGATGACGACGACGACGACGAAGACCTAGATGACATGGACTTGTCAGACTAAGAACTCGTTCCAGTCGATCAATTCATTATCATTTTGAACCGTCGTCGAGTCATACTGTACGTTTGGGCAATTCAAACGGATTAGAGAGGCCCTTATCCCATTTTTTAACTCTAGGATTGCAATCGCAAAAAAAATACATCACTACAGACAGGATTTGATAACGTGCGTAGAGTGAGGGGTGTGGCTTTCGAATTGGTTTAGAACTGCAATAACGTGATCGACCATTGATCGGCCAAATGACCATCGATCGGCCAAGGTGTTTCGTCCAATTGAAATTAATACGATGTTTCATTGGACAAAATAAATCCTTGTCATAAATTTTACCTGTATAATATGATGGAGGTAAACAATTCAACGTTGAACAATACTTGCAGCTCTCACTCTGAAAACGTATACCAGTTGAAATTTAGTAGACCTTTGAGACATAGTCTTTGAATTTTTGGAGCGAAAAATTGACCCAACTTTTTTCAATACTTAATTCAAGTGTAAATTTTGGCCGATCAATGGTCGACTGTGTAAAGTGCCGAACTTTGACATTTTTTTGGCCTGCCAAGAATTGTTTAAATCGATACATTTGAATATGCCGCGAAAGAGCTTTCCGTCAGCTTTCCGGAAATGTTGGTTTCAATGAAATGCCATGAAAACCAATTGAGATATTTTAGTTTGAAAATTTTGAAAATTTGGCTGATCAATGGTCGATCACGTTAGTTATGCGCAATGGCGGAATTCTCGACACTACTATTAATACTAATACAATGGCGGAATTCTCGTCACTACTATTACTATTAGTAACTTACGTTGTACTACGTAGTACTACGTAGTACTACGTAGTAAATAAGATCGCGTTCGTCATAAGGTGTGACAGGTCGACTTCCGGTTTTGGCATATAAGTGGATGTTGGTATTTGGCCCTGGTCGAGGAATAACCCTGAACGAAAAAACCCTGACATAATTTTGATTGGCTGATTTATCCGAATTCCGGGGTGGTTTCGTTCAGGATTGTCAATTTCAAGAGTATATTCGTTGGGTAAAATCTACTTCGAAGTAATCGCAATCTAACTGTTAGTACAAGTTGTCCAAGCTATCAGTTATTGTGCTTTTCACATATTTTGCCCGTTGTTTTAGCTCCTAAAATCATCCAAAGTTTAACCTAAACTGAAGTTGCACTCGACGTAAAAGTAAGCTTCCCCACCGTTCTGTCATTGGCTGATCTAAAACTTGCGTTGTTTTACTAAAACTACTTCGTTTTATTAACTCCCGTGGCCAAGCAGTCATGCAGAGTAATGACCTACTACTGGGGTAAGCTCGCAGTGCACCAGCTCACACGAGCTTTGCAGCCAGCTTGTTAGCAACTCGTTGGCACGAAAAGTCGAGCAAGAAGCACTCAACATCAACCTTTATCGAGCATAGTCAAGAATCACACTCGCGTGTATTAGTTAATCCACTCTGTAAACCCCCGCGTTTGCCGAAATGAAATGGGCAAACGCTTCAGGTTAGCAACA